ACAGGAAAAAACTTGCAGACTCGATTTTAACGATAGAGGTATGGTTCCTTGGGCAAATTTTCTTGGAATGACCTGAATGAATCATAGAACACGGAAATCATAGGTATTTGGTCGATTTTTTTCACTCCCTACAAATCGACCCGCCCTAATATACATGGATATTTCGGATTTACATGCATACCATTGAATTTCTAAGTTATTACTTGATGCGTGCGGATATAAAAGATGAAAAAAATGATTTTTCCCCCTAGTCTGTCTGATAAACTTGATCGTTTTCGTAACCATCATTAATACCTACCACGCTAAAACATATCATCACTCGGTTCAACAACAAATAAAGTAAAATCATATCAAAAGACAACGAATATGGATTAACTCGTTACGTGGAATAACTCTCAATGAACTCATTATGATTAAATAATCTATTTGTTGGAATGATTTCTTCATTTCTCTTTTTATAATTTCATTGGGTTTTTAATACAGTCTTTGGATCCTGATTTTTCGCACCATTCCATTTTACGTGCGAATGGTACAAGTGCACCCAAAGCGGCGCCTGTGCCACCAAACAAAATCTTGCCGGTACCGGTTGCGCCCAAAGCTTGTAGAAAGGCAAATGTACTTCCTGGTACTACATTTCCAATGCCTGATTGCCATCAGCACCATCACCAAATCCAAATGTTGAGAGCGAATATGCGCTCAGAACAAAGCCGGCACTTGCACATCCAGCTATGATTCCCCGCAATTTCCATACGTTTGAGTCACATAATTTTGGACGATCACAAATGTCACATCGATCCCACAATGTTATTGAATTAAATATGAAAAATGATTTTTGATGTGCATATTTATAGTCTTTATTGTTGGTACAAAATATTGAAGCAAAATAATTACCTTTTTCGTACAATGTCATGAAATAAAAGTGTGATACAAATGTTGTAACATTTATTTGGGTTTGATAGGTCTTGTCACGTATTCAATAACCTCTAGCACGTCTCAAATGAAAGCCAAATACGATTCAATTAAAGAAAAGTCGATTAAAAGAAACTTAGAACTGTCAACTTTGACAGCGAGACAGAGTTGTACTCTGCACTACAGAGCCGCTGGTATGCATTTCAGCTTATATTTGATATTTTCGGATATTCAACTGTCACATACATACAGGTTTTCTGAAGTGATAAGATAATTGTATGCTCTCCGTTTGTTTATTTCAAACGCTTATAAACAAAATTGATTCAATGTATTGTTCAAAAAATATACTCAGATGCGAAAAAAAAAGTTTGAATTATCTGTATTTCCTGGAATATGTTTATTGTATCCTTTTCCTAATAAAAAACATGAATGACAAAAATAAGATCTGATGAATAGCTTAATTATTACTTTGAACAAGAGCTTGATGGAGTTTCTTAACAGCAACCGATAACGTTTCTTCGAGCACATCGTCCTCTTCACACTTCACGAGCTGTAAATAAAAATGAATATTCCCATTACAACATAGCACATAAAAAATTATTTTTGATCAACAGTTAAATTACAATACATACCAAAGAGTCCAAGTCGATTTCTGCTTGTTTGTTATTCACCGTTACCATTAGACTATTGTCTTTAGTGGAGTTGGGCACAGAATTATCTCCAAACATGTCTTGCAATGTTTCGATCAAGCACTCAATGAAGTGCAATCGATCGGATTTAGCGCCAGTCGCCGCAGCCTTAATTGTATTTCCAACCAGTTCAGTTTGCATCAAACTTGCCACGACTGTATCAGCATACATATCTGTGATTGGTGTTGCTTCCCATTCCATGACCAATAATTTTCCATCGACCGTGATATCGATGCTGTTGAAAATTTTAAACTTAACATCAGTTTCAATGGTTTCCACAGTGCCCGGCCCACCGATTCGATCAAGAAGCATCTTCAAACTGATCACACTGCCATTGAAGGCGATACTCTGACGTTGCGTTACCACTGATATGCTCATGTCGGTGTATTCTGAAGAAGGAAATGAATGGAAATAATTGAAATGATTAAATGTGTGCAGAAAATTCGACTGGAGAAAGTAAATTGGTAAACTTACTCGGTAGATCGGTCGATGACAAAATGTGATATTTGAAATCACGTTTAACAAGCACTCCTGAAAGAGCATCACCATCTTCTGGCTTCTTAATGGCCAATGTGCCCATGACTTTAGCCGTTTTCTCACCACGGAAATGTAAACTAACTGTGTGCGTGTTTCGAGGATTGTAAAAAGTGATGTTTGCATTTTTGTCTCCCTCATACTCACGCTGAAGTGCCGATTTCAGTCGGAACATTTCATTTTGTTCGCCATGGACAAGAACAACATGAGTTGGTTTCAATAGACGAATGAATTCGCTGGTTTGTTGATAATCTGTGTGCGCCGAGAATGAAATGTAATCAACCGACATGTTCAGCGGTACCTTTTGACCGGACATCGTCATAATTTCTTCTGGTTCGGACAGAATTGTTTTGGCCAGTGTGCCTTCGACACAGTAACCAGCAATGATGACTCCGTTCTTTGGTTCGGAACACCACAGTTCGAAGAGTTCTCTGGATAAACCGCTTTGCATCATACCCGGTGAAGCCATAATAACACACGGTCCAACGTCTTCAAAATGATCGATTCCCTTCAAATTCGATATGTGACGGAATACAAATGGATTGTTCACAGCGATTTGTCGCCGGATTTTATCGTTCATTGCATTAATATACGTTTGATAGACGGCCATGCATTTTTTCGCCAATGATGATGCATAGTAAATTGGAATTTCTTGCAGATCTTGATTTTGGCTCCAAAATTCATCCAGAATCAAGAGCAACTCTTGGGCTCGACCCAATGCAAACACTGGAATCAAACAGCGTCCACCCTGTTGAACGATTTTTTGTACTAGTGCAGTGAATCGTGACTCGCGATCTTCACGTTTTTCGTGTATATGTGTTCCGTATGTGGATTCGGTGATCAACACGTCCGGTTTCATGGTTGGTATTTCAGCGGCCATCAAATGTCGATCTTCTTGCCGTGAAAAATCACCCGTATACAGGACTTTTACGCCAGCAATTTCAATCATAAACATTGCCGCACCCAAAACATGACCGGCATTATATGCCCAAAATCGTACACCCATCACATCTCTCTCTTCGTGGAAGTTTATCGTCTCAATCTTCTCCATCGAGGCCTCGAGATCGGCTTCTGTGTAGAGCATTTGTTCGGTGGATATATTACTGACTTTGATGTAATCGGACAACATCCAACGGTAGATGGCCTTGGTTGCGTGCGTCATGAAACAACGTCCTTTGAAACTGGTCTTTTGCAAGAACCACGGCAATGCACCGCAATGGTCTAAATGGAAACTGAATTGGAATGGAAATGGGATTAAATGGAATTAATTTTTGTAATGTAGCAAATTCATCATCGTCATGAGTCAATTGCTTCAGCTGAAGCTGCCATGGAAAAATTACATTTTTTTCGTCACTTACTGTGATATAAAAAGCAAATCGACTTCGTCTGCTTCGATGAGATCAACGAATGGCAATGCATCCATTCCAGAGAGGCCCGGATGAATACCACAGTCCAACATGATTTTCTTTCCTTTAAACTCGAGCATTATGCATGATCGACCCACTTCTTGGCCCGCACCACTGCAAATCGAATGAATATTCCATCAATTTTGTTAATTCTTTTGGTCAGAATGGCAACTAACCATAAAAAAAATACCAATGGGATAAAATCGATTCTCAAGAAAACGGTGAAATACTTACAGTGGTCTGATTAACAGCACATCACTTTCCTCATCGGGAATATCGATATCGTTTTTTCTTTTTGTTGCCATTTTTCCTGTTTTAAAATTTACGATTCAAATTGTTTCTTGTTTATAAATGGATTTTGTTTTAGCTGTACTTTTCGCGTCACTCACAAACGTTATTATGTTCATGCGGTTGTTGACATTTCGATGCATTGACAGTTCGTACCATTGTTTACCATGAAGTGCGGCGAAATCAGTTTGATGTACTCCGTAGCAACATAACCTCAATTCGTTTAAGCACATTTTGTTCGCGCAATTATTTGGGAAACTCGTAAAAATTACCGAAAATAAAATGGCTTTAATCGCCAAAAGTGACGACTTTATCATTATAACTGCTCAACGAAGTATTTTCGTATGGAATACGAAAAATCAGACACATTCATTGACTGAGGTGCCAAAAATTCCACGGAAAAATGTCGACACCAGTGGATTTGCTAACGTGAAAAACGGTAAACAAGAGAAAAACGAAAACAAAGACGAAGAGAATGCGGAAGAAGAGCAAGGAAATGTGGAATTCGGAAACATAAATCGCTTGGATATTTCACCGTCCAAACAATTAGTGGCGGTCACAACAGTGGGCGATAAATTTCTGTTTCTCTATCAATTAAACGACGGAACGTTGAATCTACTGCAAAACGTACAATTGACCAGAGCAACTAGTATCGTGCGATTCACACCAGATTCAAAGCATCTCCTGATTGCTGATAAAACCGGCGACTGCTCAATTCTCGATTGTCAGAATCAGTCGGACAACGAACCCAAATGGATTTTGGGCCATCTCAGCATTGTTTTGGATGCGCTGATGACCAAAGATTTGAAGTAAGTCAGAATTATTGCTACGAATAGCGATTAAGAGCTTAAATTTTAATTGATTATTTGCATTGCCATTCCAGATATGTAATCAGCAGCGATCGAGACGAGAAAATTCGTGTGACAAATTACCCGTTGACCGAAGTGATTGAATCATACTGTTTGGGACACACGGAATTTGTATCAGCCATTGAAGAATTGAAAACCGAAACGAACGAGAATGTTTTGGCTTCAATATCTGGCGATAGAACTTTACGGTTATGGAACTATGTGGATGGAAAGGAGCTTTTCCAACTAGAATTACCAGCACCAGGATTGCGTCTCGCTAAAAATGACCAGAATGAATTGACTGTGGTGTTGTTCGAAGAGAATTTCTCAATTGGTATTTATGAGCTAAAATCAAATGAAAATAAACCAGAAGTACGTGCTTTGGGTGAACATATACTTGACGAGAATGTAAAATACGTTGGTTCAATTGTTTATGAATCGAACGATTCGATTTGGTATACGGGACTTGATGAAAACAGCGAAGTAATTTTGAGGCGATTAGAAATTACACGGTCAAATGATCTAGTCCAAATTGCTGAGACGAATTTAGATAATGTACTGAACATTCTCAAGGATAATTTACCATCGACAAAACTTCAACCATGCGAAGACGTAGCTCAGCTGTTCAAAACCCGTGTCGACAACACGGCTGACTATCATGAGCGCAAAAAGAGACGCATCGAATTGCTCCATGAAAAAAGATACAGCAAATCTTATGTTAAAAATTAACTGAAACTCATCTTTATTTGGCTTTTATTCAAAATTAAATTTTTTGTGGAAAAAATGAAGTTTAATAATAAATGTTATATTTTCTTATAAAAGGAATCGTCGATGTTTCTTTTCGACTTTGTCGATTGTTGTTGCAAAGATGAAATATAATGCTATACGTGAGCATCAAATGGAACATTTCCAAGCAGCACATCGCTTGATTTTTTATAGACGACTGCCATGACTTGGCAGGTGATCCACCGAACTTTTCTATATCATTTCAAAATGTGACTTACGCTTGCTGAAAACAAATATCCATATCAATGATAAATCTGAAATTGGAAGATGTAAGAAATAAAACTATGCCTTCGTAAAAGAAACCAACGGCGAATCTAAATCGAAATGCAATTTTATTCGTTTTGAAGAGACATGTTTATAATAAATGTTAGAATTGTATATCAAAATGATGGAGTGATGATGTTTATACTGGCTTGTAGTCTAATTTGCTTTCCAGTTTTTTGTTGTCGGACACCTTACGTACCGCTTTCATGAAATCTTCTTGGATCACGTACTCCCGTTCAGCTCTGAAATTAGAATGGAATTAGAACAGATTGAATTTGGGAATCGAGATTTACAAAAATAAATTTTTTCTCCGTTAAAATTGATTTTTGTTCAAAACAATTCGTAAATAGAATAATCAAAATCGGTTTGAATCGGTTACCTGATAGCAAAAAGACCAGCTTCAGTACAAACGTTACGCAAATCGGCACCATTGAAATTATCTGAGAGTTTGACAATGGCTTCGTAGTCAATTTCGCCGTGTTTAGCAATTGGACCAGCATGGATTTTAAGAATTTCCAAACGTGCCTGTTCATTTGGCAGTGGAATTTCAATCTTTCTGTCCAAACGACCTGGACGCAACAAGGCAGGATCTAAAGTGTCTGGACGATTTGTAGCCATAATCATTTTGACTTGACCAAGTGAATCGAAACCGTCCATTTGATTGAGCAGCTCCATGAGCGTACGTTGAATTTCACGATCAGCTGATGTTCCCTCGGAGAAACGGCGACCGCCAATAGCATCAATTTCATCCATGAATATGATGCATGGCTGATGATCACGTGCATAATTGAACATTTCACGAATCAAACGTGCACTTTCACCAATGTATTTGTCGACAATGGCGCTGGAAACCACTTTCAAGAAGTTGGCATCAAGTTGCGATGCCACGGCACGGGCCAACAACGTCTTTCCGGTACCTAATTGGAAAAATATTCACAAAATCATGTTGATAAGATACTCTGGTAGGTGAGAATGAGTTGTGAATGGACGAAAATTGATGAAATCACTTTCTTTTCTTTTCCCTGCATGTTTTCTTCAATAAAAATAGACAAAGGGTGATAACTTTACCTGGTGGACCGTACAACAAGCAACCCTTTGGTGGTGTGATACCGACACGCAAGAACAATTCTGGATTCATCAATGGCAGTTCAATGACTTCACGCAATTCACGGATTTGTTCGCTCAAACCACCAATAGCTGAATAAGTAACTTCACCTGGATCCTCGTGCGACATGTTATACACCAATGGATCAACTTCGCGTGGCAAATAGCGCATAATTGTTAATGTTGTCATGTCGAGTGCAACACGAGTGCCGGATTTCAATTTAGTTTTGTCCAATTGACGACGGCAACCAACCACATAACGTGGACCATTTGTTGCCTTAACAATGACTGCAATCGAAAGGCAAATCAATTGATGGGTTAATCGATTGTTTTTGTGAAAATTTTCAATTTGTCAAATTTGCGGATTCCTCGCTTTATTTGCTCACTTACATTTGTCTTCGGTTAGCTGTTTCAATACTTCACCAACAATTTGGCCGACGCTCTGAAGTGCTTTCAAGTCATTTTCCGATTTATCAAATTGCTTCGTTAATTCCTTCAACTGTTCACGCACTGAAACAAATCAATTGATACGATTAATGAATTGGATTTTTGTTGCAAAGATCATAATTTCCTGATGATTAGCTGCAACTCCAATGACTTGACAAATTCAAGAGTTGACATAACCTATATCATTCTTCATACTTGGCTGATCCAAAAAAATGTACTTTTTCTTACTTTCTTTGAGCCGTGACTCGACTTCCTTGTGTTCCAGCAATTTCTTGCGGTAATCTTGCAATCCTCGCTCTCTAGTTGGTTCCACCGACATTTTTCCTATTTATTTTACTCGCAAAACCAAACAAACGAAACTAGTTTACACAGATCCAAATGACGATTTGTTTTCTTGCATCAAACCTTTTTGCAGTGTCACAACCATTTGACAGATTTGGGCTAACTGAATTGAGCGCCATCTACAATTGCCGAAACACGAAAACAAATTATTGGATAGAGAAGTGGGATATTTTTTTTGCTTCAACGGCTATTTTTATGAAAATTATTTAAATAGGAGATTTTTTTGTGGATTTTGTATTCATTTTTCATGTTTTTTTATCATACTTTGGATAGTAGCATTTCAATGTCTACTGTTCATTTAAAACACTTTACTTCAATCTAAAGCGATTTAGTGAGTCAAATTCAAACCGAATTCGAACCAGTTCATTGAGCTACGATTTTGTTTTTGTTTATCTGACGTTTCTCCAATAGGAAAAAAAAAACATTTTTCAAGTGTCAAAACGAAAGATTTCAAAACAAACAACATAATTTGGCTTCGCAGTTCAATTGAAAAAGAAAATAATAACATTTACAGAGTGTGAACGATGTAGCCGCATTCAGAAACGTAATAGAAAAGGTAATTTGATACGTCGATAGCACTGACATTCTTCTTAAATCAACGAAATAGGATTTTAAATTTAAATTTCTTCGAAATAACCTTCGAAATCATCATTCATTTGTAGGAAACATCGACGATGACCGAAAGAAGTGTGCAGCAGCGCAATTTGCTGGTGGCTTGTGCGCGCGGTGAATATGATTTTCTAGAGAAATATATTCGAAAAAATCCACAGAAACGGAAATACGAAGTGTTTGACAACCACAGATGGGGACCGTTGCATCATGCTGTAGCGAGTAATTCGTACGATTGTGTTCAGTTATTGTTATCGTCCGGCCTGGTCGACACTAAATGGAGATCATTCGAAGGACAAACGTGTTTATTCGTGGCAGTGGATCGAGGTGCCTCACAGGCAATCATCAAAGCACTGTTAAAAGCTGATTCGGATCTGTTCAACCTGTCAAACAACGAGAGTGTTTATCCGATGCATAAGGCGGTTCTTAAAAATTCCCTGGAAACCGTGCAAACGATGGTCGAAACACTGAACGAAATGAGAGTCACATTCGCCGATCAATTCGACTGGGACTATGAGAATTGCCTATTTCTTGCCGCTCGCGCAAAGAACTTGCAAATAATGGAATATTTGCTGACAACAGACAAACACGATCCACAGCATTTGAATGATGCGGGCTTAAATGCTGTTACAATCGCTTTGTTGCCATGCGAAGAAAATATGGAAAATGAAGCATTCAATCGATTTGAAATCTTCAAGAGATTGGTACCACTGACTTATGATTTATCAGCCGACAATTGTATGCAACGAATGATGCTGTCGATTAGTTTTACCTGTCTGTTTAAGCATCGTGAGATATTCCAATGGATCATTGAACATTTTTATCTCAGCACAATTAATGAGCATCGAGATTTAGTTCAGAAAGTGTTGAACACATTGCAACTCGTTGACTTTGACTATCAGATCGTTTTAGTCGCTTTGCATTCGAAATTGCCACGGTTCGTGGTTAATGACGCTGATCAACTGAAAAACGACATTTTGTATTCCAACATTTTCAACGATTTACGCAACATCTTCAACTATGATCGTGAGCTCTTCATTGAGATTGTAGCGGTGATGCGACCGAAACTCGATTCAGAATCGCTGAACTATGTGATGTTAAAATTTATACCAAACGAATCCATTGACCGAACACAAATGCTCGACGATTTCATTCAAATGTTTGACATCATGCAAATTGGAGACTTGCTGAATATTCGAAAACTTCTACTTTTTACACCATCGCCCACATACTTAAACAATCTGCTGCTTTTACTCATGCCATTTTCAACGGAGTCAACGGCTGATATTTTCATCGAAAAACGATTGAAGGATAAACTATTCACCGATACAACGCCATACGAACGGGACGATGGTCTGGTGCGATTCTGCATCAACGGAATGTTTCGCAGCAAATGTGATTTGAAATGTCTCTGCCGAGCAACGATCCGATCCAATATTCTACACAGCAATGAAATTGAAAGGACCAACCATGAACGATTGAATCAAATTCGATCCATGCAAATACCAATTCCAATAAAAAACTTTCTGTTATTCAATTATACGCGATATGATTTTAAATGAATAGATTTAAGTGACTGTTAAGCTAATTTAAAGCAAGATAAAGTGTTCTAGAAATAAAACTGAAGAATCGAAAAAAAGACGAGCGATATTGTTTAATTGAGCTATAAATATTTTCTTTTGTGAATGAAATATTCGAAGATTCCTTATCCTCAGAACTTTGAACTAAATTTTATTCGTAGATAGTATGCAAAAAAAACTGTCTGTTATTCGATCCATCAACTCTTTTATTTGGATAATGAAAAACGATAGGTTACAATTAATAAAGCAAAATTCAATTCAAGAATATTCAAGTGCCGTCATACTAATAGTCGTCAGATTTCGGGATGGTTGCTAACTAAAAAATCGGAATAAATTATTGAATGAGTTGTTATTGAATTAAAAGAGAAAAATTAAAAAGTATACCTTGAGGAAAATTTCGAACAAAATTGAAATCTTGAAAGTTAGATGAAGTATCAATTTCATCAGTTTTAGTAAATCTATCACAATGCTTGATTCCGTCGAATTCCACGTTTGCTAATGATTTTTCACCATCTGGCATCGGTGCAGAGATAACCAAACGTAAAAGACATAATATCAAAATTATCAAATGTTTGATTGCCATTTTCAATATTGTATATTATTTCAGAGCCAACAACCAGCTACACTTGGCTACACTTCAGAACAGCTATTGACTGGAAGCATGCTCACACTGGCTTTCATTTCGTATTTTCATCCACTTACACAGAATTTTTTTTTAATACTAAACAAACAACTGGAAATGATTTCGCAAAGTATCTCGCCATTTAAGATGGCTTTCATTATTGTTGGTGTGGATTGCAACATATGTTTTTGAATGAATAATGAAGAAGTGTTTAAACAAATGAATCAAGAAATATTGCCCATGTGCAGTAAGTCTATTTATAACTCAATCAATAAAAAACAATTCAAGAAATTATATTCAGTTGCGCTGTTGCTGTTTTTTAATTTTGTATTAATAAGACTTTTATATCTCATTGTTTTCTTCGCAGATGCTTTCAATATCTATTATATTTACTTTTTTCCTGTTTTTGCACATTTTTCGATTTCCTTAAAAATGATAAATTGTCCATATAACGAGTGAATTAAAATTTTGGATGTAGTATGTGAAGAAAATTCGTTCTTTGCTTTTCATGTATTGGGTGTATCTGTATATTAACTCTGACCAAATCAACCGTCTATAGAGGATCATTTAATTATGCCATGTATTATTTGTTTTTTTAATGGTAACGCAGTACGAATGTTGATTATAAAAGCGAATACGAAATTAAAAGGAATGATCATGAAATAAAAATATATGGACAATTGTGCCAACATTGCAATCGTGTGCTCTAGAAATGATAAATGTCGAGCTGAAATGCAATAAAGTACTATTCATGACCACTGGTCACACTTCTATCGTTTGTGGATATAATTCGTGAAGAGTCAACTCGAAATAATTTTGGTGATAATAATTTGGTTACGCATGAAGCTTGGGACTACGTTTGCTATATAAATGCCATCAAACGAACGTTTCTTCTACATTATAAAGTTACATCTTCAGTTAGTAGTTTCACCATAGCATTTCCACTCTCAAAACAAGCTTTGATCGCAATTTTCAAGTTACAACTGTATTTTTTTCCCCCAATTATCAGTTAAAGGGCACAATGAAATCGATTTTCTTGCTGTTTGTGGCGATTGTATTGCATTGCGATGCATCGTCTTACTTAGAAGAAGCGTTCGAAAAAAATGAAATTCTTTCCGACCTCAATATTGAAGCTCCAGAGTCGTTTTTGAATGTAAGTGTCTCTGCGACTAGAAAAAAAAAATTACAAATATTGTCTTTCACCTCTGAAGGTTGTATATCCTGGTGGCGCTGAATTGAATTTGGGCAACAAATTAAATACATCAGATGTACAAGGTCGACCAAAACTTACATGGGATATTGAAAAAGATAGCTACTATACAGTGGTTTTTACGCTCCCAGATACACCTACACGAGCCACCCAGACGCTTCGCGAATTTCGGATGTGGCTTAAGATGAATATTCCAGGAAATGATGTCCAGAAAGGAGACGAGGTTGAGGAATACATTTCTGCATGTACGCAAGCAACTGCATTATGCGTTTAAGAGTCAATAATTAAATTTGAAACTGATGATAAAACAAAATCAATCTGATCTATATTCATACATAATTCATTTCTATCTCTCGTACATAGTACCGGCACAGGAAGGACTGCGTCGCTTTATCTATTTCATTTTCAAACAACCCGACGGAATTATTGAATACGATGAAAAATATCATTCAAAAGAGTAAGTATCGAGCATACTTTTTATTTTACTATCATTTTTTTCTCGGATTTTAAATTATGTTCCGAATAAAATCCATTATAATGTACTTTCCAGAGACGTGGTACCCAGACGATATACTTCAGCATCCAAATTGGCAAAGAAATACGGCCTGGGTCGTCCAAAGGCCGGAAACTTCTTCCTGCTTTAATGATGTCAAAAACGATGCTTCTGTACCGAATCTCAATGAGAATTAACCTTTAAGAGATCTAAAAACATATATTCATTGAGACACTGGCAACTTGCGTTTAGAAAATAAAAAAAACAGAAAAGCTACAATCAAGCTTGGCTACAATAGCTGCCCATTTAACGTAGTGAAAATAGCGGCATCACTTCTGTATAATATTTGAATCCATTCATCTCTTTAGGTCATTCATGTATTTCAAATCCATTTTCTATTTGAATTTGGAAAATAAAATATTCCCTAAACTGTGGATCGCTTTAAATTTATTTGATTGAAAAATTGAAGTTTTGACACGATTATTTCTATTTGCCAATGTGATTGGATTTCACATAATCTATTTTGTTATTCACCACTTCTAATTTGCACCATTCAGATTGGAAAATATTAAAAAAAAGAAGAAGCATTTGTACGATTATGTATGAATCAAATACAAATTGTCATGTCATATGTGAATGTGATGTCGGTGTGAGTAAACGTATACGTGAATTATTCCATCATAGATCAGTTGCAAGCAGTCTCTTTCGCTCCATTAATCAAAGTGCATCGCAACCAAAACAATTGCTGCACTCTTCATTCCATCATTTCATTGTTCGTTGAGGATAAAAAAGAGAAATATAATAGACCAATGATGATTGTTGAAACTCCTTCAAAAAAACAAATCAAATTTTAAATGCTGTGCAAAAATTCATACAATTTGGCAGCATGCGGGGTTTTGGCCATCTTCTTATTTTTGCATACATCACTGCACACGCACACGAGAATGTGTCGAATGGGATCTATACAAAATATATAAGGAGAATCGTGACAAGATAATCGTGTGCTCAAAAAATGATAGCTGTCGAGCTGAAATGCAATAAAGCACTATTCATGACCACTGGTCACACTTCTCGTCACGATTTATGGTATCAACTCGAAATAATTTTTATGATAACAATTTGTTTACGCATAAAGCTTGGGACAACGATTGCTATATAAATGCCATCCAGCGAACGTTTTTTTCTACAGTATAAAGTTACATCTTCAGTTGATAGTTTCACCGTAACATTTGCACTTTCAAAACAAATTTTGATTGCAAATTCCAAGTTCTAACTGTGATTTTTTCCAATTATCAGTTGAAGGACATAATGAAATCGATTTTCTTGCTGTTTGTGGCGATTGCACTGAATTGCGATGCATCGTCTTATTTGGAAGAAGCGTTCGAAAGAAATGATATTCTTTCGGACTCCAAAATTGTTGCTCCAAAGTATTATTTGAATGTAAGCGTCCCTGTGACTTGAAAAATGGAATTATTCTGACAAATATTGTCTTTCACCTGACAAGGTTTTATATCCAAGTGGCGCTAAAGTGAATTTGGGCAACGTATTGAAAACATCAGAAGTACAAGGTGTGCCAAAAATTACATGGGATGCGGAAGATAGTTGCTATTATGCACTGGTATTTTATAACCCAGATGCACTGACACGAGCAGAGCCGACGCATCGTGAATTTCGGGATTGGCTTGTGCTGAATATTCCAGGAAATAATGTCGAGAAAGGGGACGAGGTTGAGGAATACATTCCTGCAGGTACGAAAGCAAATGCATTATGCGTTTATTATTTAATGATTAAATTTCAAACTGATGATCAAGTCAATCGGATCTATATTCACTTCCATCTTTCGTACATAGTACCGGCAAAGGAAGGACTACGTCGCTATATATATTTGGTCTTCAAACAATCCAACGGAACTATTAAATATGATAAACCATACCTTCCAAAGGAGTAAGCACTTAGCATACTTTCTACTTTACGATAGATTTTTTTTTTCAAATTTTAAATTATGTTCCAAATGAAATCCCTTATTATGTACTCTTCAGGGATAAGGTATCCAGACAAAATACTTCAGTATCTAAATTGGCTGAGAAATACGGTTTTGGTGATCCAGTGGCCGGAAACTTCTATCTTCTACCAGCTTAATGATATCAAGAGTGATGCTTCTGGAGAAAACCTCAAAAAATTAACCTTTAAGAGATCTCAATACAAATATTCATTGGCAACTTGCGTTAAAGAAAAACACAACAGACCTATAGCTGCATACTTCACGTAGTTAACAACAGCATCACTTGTGTAGGATCTTTTAATGCATTTCGCTTTTCCGGTCATTCATGATCTTCAAATTCATTTTCCATTTGAATTTGGTAAATAAAATTTTCCACAAAGTTGGAAGTGGATAACTTTAAATTGTGTGGCAATTTTACTTATTCCAAAAATTGAACCGTTGTTATTTCCATTCACCAATGTGATTGGATTTCACAAAATCTATTATGTTATTCACCACTTCTAATTTGCACCATTCAGATTGAAAGATAATTATCCAAAATACAAACGTTTGTGCGGTTATGTGAATCAAATCCCAATTGTCATGTCATATGTGAATGTGATTTCTGCGTGAGTAAACATTTGACGCATACATACGCGTATCAGTCCATCATAGGACAGTTACAAGCAGTCTCTTTCACACCATTGATCGAAGTGTAACGCATCCAAGATAACTGTCACACTCTACATTCCATTACTTCACGCTGAGGACCAAAAAAAGAAAAATAATAAACCAATGATGATTGTTGAAACTCCTTCCAAAAGTAAAGCAAAAGTGAAGTTCTGTCCAAAATTACATCCAATGTGGGCAGCATTTGTGGTCATCATTATGTTCTTATTTCTGCATTATTGCCGCAATGATTTGAAACATTTTTTCGGGCTCAACTCAACCGATGTTAATGCTGCCGATAGTACAAGCAAAGGGTCGAAAATGCTGCACAAAATGAAATTTCATCCACGCGATCACCATAAATCATCCGTCACAAACAACCATACAATGCATCGTTTGCCTAAGAATAGTAGCGATTTAAATTCATTTGTTAAAACAAAAATATTTATGTTGAATGAATAAATGTTTACAATATTGGTTTTGTTTGTTTTTCCTTGTATCACACTATCAATTTACAGGCGAGAAATGAGACGGTTAAAATGTACACAAATAGTAGGTAAAGTGCTTGAGAAAGAACGAGACAAACAAATGCAACAGAGAGTGTATGTCGATTGCCGGCAGATCAATTCATATGTCACACACATATATGTAATTTTTGGCGCGCTTTTTCGTGGGAGTGCGTTCAATGGGATTTGTGCTTTTGCGACGTATTCTAATATGATTTTTTTCTTGTTCATTTCTTGTTTCAATTGTATCTCTTGTTCTTTTTGGAAATCAATTTATAAATTCGTTTTACTATTTGCTATTTTGCTATTTTTACCCACACTTGATAGTTGCATTTATGCAAATTAATATGAAGGTGACGATAAATGGTAACATTTAATTATGTTAAATTATGAGATGACATGAAATGTTTGACATTCCGTCAAAGAATGGACGAATGATAAAATCAGCACGTCATAGATTCTCAGTGTTCGTCTATCTGTTGGAGCAGCACGTTCAAGGCGATCATCAAGGAATAAAAATTAAAATGTTCAAGTACATTGCATCTAAGCTGGTTGCATTTTTACCTTGGAAAAGTACCAATAAAAAAGAAGAACCAAAAAAATTTGCAATCAAAAGGTTGATTAAAAAATTCTTTCAACGAAAGAAAAAAACATGTTGGGAAAAACTACGTGAAAAGGCTTCGGTGATATGGCGAATGATATGGCCAAATAATGATGAATCATTTTTCAAGAAGCTTATGCCGAAATCAATGAAGAAAACCTTCTGGCAGAAAATTTATAAAAAGGCATCAAAGGTGTGGAAAATCCTTTTTCCACCTAAGAAAACATTCGCCCGAAAGCTGCGGTCATTTGGCAAGAAATGCATCATCCCCATTACCATAATCTTCATACGACTTACCTTTTCATATGTGGGTGATTTTTTTGCCATCTTTTGACGTCCGAAATGCAAAAAATGTGACGATTGACAAGGAGGATGTTGAACACACAAACACCCACACTCATCACTAAATTCATTATTTGTTTTGAAATTATTTTTTATTTTTTTTTTTGAAAAATATCTCATTCTTGTTAGAATTGTTACAATTTTCCATTTATTTGTTAAAAGATAATAATGAAATTTCTTGATTTTCATTGTAATATATTTGAAAAAATATATCTGAACTGGATGAAGTTTTGATCCGAAGCGATAAAAAAAAATTAGAGGATTGAAATCACTTTTATTTTCATTCCAACAGCTACATAAAGCTTTATGTGGGTAAGTTTTCTCTAAGTTTACATGTGTCCCAATCAAAAGATCACATCATTCAATGTGTTGGTCACGGCTTTAAATATGTGTACATAAAGAAGCCGGTGCAAATCACACATGTCTTACTATTTTCTGCTCAAATGTACAATCATTGTGCGGATCAAAATCAATTTCAATCTTTCATTAGTAGTTTGTGAGGAAACAGGTAAAGTGGTTAAGATTTCTTTGATTGTTACATTTTGTTGTGCCTTTTGTTCACGCTTTGGTTAAATAAACGAAACAAGACGAAAGAGACTACTTACTTTTCACAAAGATTCTTGTTGATCAAATCAATGCAGAAAAAGAGAATTGAAGCGATTTAAATTTTGAATGACTAGAAAAGTCCAACTGATTTTCGGGATAAAATAGCTTTATCCGTAAAAATAACCTCTTTGTGTTGTTGACAGTGTGAACTACGCGTAATGTCACTTTCCCGCTAAATGCGTCTATGTTTACTAGAACTGTCAAAATTTCACAGCAAAACAAATTTCATTTTCATTGTGTTGCAATTGAACAGAATCCAACGAAAAACGGAATACAAATCGAAAAAATGTCCAACTAAACAAAAGCCAATCATCATTCTTGAAGAATTTTCGGCAAATAAGTATGAAGTTGTTTCGTGTAAATATCAGAATAAGTGTTTAAATCGTATACGAAAATGTCGAAGCAACAAACGAGCATCAACAACAAATATGATCGCCTGATTGCATTGATTGACATGGATTGTGAGTATTTCAAATGCTATGTTTCTGTATTTCTTATGAAATAATCCAATTATTTGCTAGGCTTCTACTGTCAAGTGGAAGAACAACTGAATCCAGAGCTCCAAGGCAAACCAATCGCTGTAGTGCAGTACAATGCTTGGCGAGGCGGCGGGTAATATCCAGCTCATTCATATCCATAATGCATATAATAATGCATTATTAATGCTGTTTCCACTTTTATTTATATTTTAGGATCATAGCGGTAAATTACCCAGCCAGAGCTCATGGTGTGACGCGTCATATGCGAGGTGATGAAGCCAAAGAGCAATGCCCCGATATTGAATTAGTAAAAGTGCCGAATATTCGTGAGAAAGCCGATTTGTCAAAGTACCGAAATGCTGGCAAACAAGTAGCAACCGTGCTGCAAACGTTCACACCATTATTAACGCGAGCTAGTGTTGATGAGGCGTATTTAGATCTAACGGAGCAAGTTCAAATTAGATTGATGGACATGAATAAGGTAAAATCAAGTGAAAACATAAGAAGAAAAAATCAAGGCCGTAACTGAATGGATATTGATTTTCAGGGAAAGTTCTCGTTGCAACCGAATGCGTTGAAAAACACATTTGTTGTGGGCTACGACAGTATCGCCGAGTATGTACAAGATATTTCCGAGCGGATAACTCAAGGCACTGACGATGGAAGCGATGAATTGGCTCACATTCCAGAGGAGGATCGCAAAGCGTATAAGAAAAGTGATATAAAACTATTGATCGCATCGTCGATTGTGAGTGAAATTCGAGCAGCGGTGAAAGAACAAACGGGATACGAGTGTTCGGCTGGAATTGCACACAATAAAATATTAGCGAAACTCGTGTGTGGATTGAATAAACCAAACAAACAAACCATTTTGCCGCTAAAACACATTCCACAGTTGTACAAGTAAGAAATTCTTTTCGTGGAAATTATCAAACTTTTCTTTCCATCAATTGCAAACAATTTATGAGATTAGATCATTTTTTTTCTTCAAAAATTCAATATCAATTTTTATTTATTGTGATTAACACTATTTCTCATCTCATTTCAGAACTCTTCCCGTAGGAAAAGTGCAGGGTTTAGGCGGTAAATTTGGCGAGAGAATCTGTGAAGATTTGGGAATTAAACACATGGGCGAATTGATCAAATTCTCAAAAGAAGAGCTCCAGCGACGATATGACGAAAAAAAATGGACAGTGGCTGTATAATATGGCGCGTGGTATCGACTTAGAAGCGGTCACACCACGATTAGTGTCAAAATCGATTGGGTGTTGCAAAAAGTTTCCTGGTCGAAATGCAATATCAGCGATAACAACGTTGAACCATTGGTTGCACGAGTTGGCCAAAGAGATTTCCGAGCGATTGGAGCAAGATGAACTCGAAAATAATCGTCGGCCCAAACAAATGGTTGTGAGTTACGTGCAAACGATCAACAATGCGGATGTTTCTAGTTCGAGAAGCGTAAATATGACAACGTTCGATGAGGAGAAAATTGTGAGCGATGCCATAGATGTGCTCAAAAGAAACACGGAGAAATTCTTCAAATCCAGTGATAATTGTGTGTTGAACAATCCAATCAAGTTTTTGGGCTTGAATGTGGGTAAATTCGAGAGTACAGATGTAAAGAAAGGCAACACAATCCAGGGTATGTTCCAAAAGACGATTGAGAATCAGAAAAATGAAACGAAAGATGGAGTGGAGACAAGTGACAAAACAACCACCGACTGTGATCAAACGGACAAGCCTGAGGAGAGTAACGGAGCGCCCAGTGAAGATTCAAAGCCGAAGGAAGAGAAAAAAAGTGATGTGCAAGAGTCTTACTTTGCTAAATACCATCGAATGCAGCTGCAAAAGAAGGCTGAAGAAGAGGCACGAAAAGCAGAAGAAGAGAGACGACGCAACGAAGAAGAAGCCGATGAGGATCAAGAAAGCGACGAAGAAAATACATTGAACAACGACATGTTAATGGAAGAACTGAAACAAAATAATCAAAGTGTGCAGCAACAGCCAGAGGCTATACCACGTTCAGAATCACCAGCTCCATCAACATCGTCGAATGCGAATTACATGGAAAGCTACGCCGAGTTTTACAAGCCGCTAGAACTGCCGAAAGTTGAATGCACAAAATGTGGAAAGAAAGTGAACGCGCACGAAATTCAAATTCACACTGACGAGCACCTCGCATTTCAGCTTACTCAAGAGCAACGCGTTGAATTCCAAAGTCAACTGAAGCGAAATATCGTTTCCACAACGCCGGCGGCGAAGAAGCAAAAGACAACAGCCAACAGCAAATCGAAATCTCCCCCCAAATTGGCATCGATTCAAAAGTTCTTGGTGAAAGCTGGTCAAGATGTGACGATAGCCATGCCGTCCACGAGCACAGCGTCCAATGTTGAAACGGAAAAGTGTCAGGAATGTGGCAAAAATATTCCGATCGTTGAACTATTCGAGCACATGGACTATCATGCCGCCAAAAAGCTTCAAGATGAACTAATGAAAGCTGAGATTGCGAATCGAACGAATAACAATACGATACAAAACAGTGCCGGCAAAAATGTGAGCGCAGTCAAAGGGAAAAAATCAAAAACGAAAACATCTAGCAATGCAACCAACAACGGTGCACCGAATGCAATGAAGAACATCGCATCGTTCTTCAAAAATACTTGATTACTGGACAGTTCAACGATTTGAAAGTTCAGATTTTGTTGAGCATATTTGATAGGAGATTTAGTCTAGAATTGGATCGTTTTAATGATAATTTTTACTTAGTTACTCAAGAGTTCAAAAAACGGGTTTAGATTTAACAGTTATGTTTATTTCGTAAATGTTATATATTTCAGTTAGAAACGATAATAAAAACGTATTCGGAAATAATGATTGAAATGGTAAGAATTTTATTGATTTGTCTTTATTAAGAAGTATTGGGTCTGGGAATTAATCGTGTCGATTTTTCAAAAGATGGCGTAACTTTGCATGGTTGTATCGGGCAATACTTTTTTCTTTTTCACATGAGTGGTCTAATGTCAAACTACAAAAATCATCATCTATCATTTCATCGAAGTTTGGATAAACATTTTTTTTTGCGCCTTAAATATGTCAAATTTTGTACCGAAAAAGCAACATTTCCCGCAAGCATTAATTTTTTGCTTCCATTTGAAGAAAACTGCGGCTGAAGCGCATCGAATGTTGGTGGAAGCCTATGGTGAGCATGCTCCATCGGAACGTACATGTGAACGGTGGTTTTCACGGTTCAAAAGTGGTGATTTTAGCACGGAAGACAAGGAACGTCCCGGCCAGCCAAAAAAGTTTGAAGATGCGGAATTGGAGGCATTGCTCGATGAAGATTCGAGTCAAACTCAAGATGAGCTTGCCAGAGCATTGAATGTTGACCGAAGCACTGTTGGATATCGTTTAAGGGCCCTTGGTTTCATTCGCAAGTTGTCAAATTGGGTACCACATGAATTGACGCCGGCTCAAGCTGAAAGGCGTTTGGTGACTTGCGAAATGCTGCTCGCTAGGCACAAAAAAAGAGGTTTTCTGTATCGAATTGTCACTGGTGGCGAAAAATGGATTCATTACGATAACCCCAAGCGCAAAGCATCGTATGTTAAGCCCGGCCAACCAGCAACATCACAGCCAAAACAAGAAATTCACGGCGACAAGGTAATGCTGTCTATTTGGTGGGATGAGGAGGGAGTGGTGTATTATGAGCTGCTGAGAAGTGGTCAAACCATCGATGGGCCTTTCTACCGACAACAATTGATACGTTTGAAACAAGCAATCAAAGAAAAACGCACGAAATGGGAGACCAGAAAAGAGACATTGATTTTCCTACATGACAATGCTCGGCCACACATTGAGAAATCGGTCAAAAACTACTTGGAAAATAGCGGATGGGAAGTTTTGGCTCACGCCCCGTATAGCCCAGACCTGGCTCCTTCCGACTACCATTTGTTTTGATCGATGCAAAACCATATGGACGGAGAGCGGTTCTCTTCAGTTGAAGAAATCCAAAATTGGCTCGATGCATTTATAGCCTCAAAAGATGAGGAATTTTTTAAGGCAGGCATCCGTCAATTGCCCACATTGTGGCAGAAGGTCATCGCTTCCGATGGACAATATTTTGATTGAAATGTAATTTCATTTTGGTATTCAAATAAATGTTTGAAAATTTAAAAAAAAATCGACAAAACTAATTCCCAGACCAATATGAAAAAGAGGTATTCAGAAACTGAATCTGATATTTGTTTGATTGACTCATTTAAAAGACTTTCTGCAATTGCTGCAAAAATTGCTGTCGAACTGGCATGTTGTCCGTTCCTTTAGCTCGTTTTCACGTAATTCTGGAAAGAAAGGTATGTGAATTTAGAAAATACGACAAAAATGAAGAAAGATCAATGGAAAATGCATTCAAGTCCTGACATTTAACACGCACACACAAATTCTATAGACTTTTCTTTTCATCTATTTCTTCTCAAACGTGGATTTCATCAACTTACACACAAAACAAACTTTTCCAAATCTAAGAATTTTTTTTCTTAGATATGGAATAAGAAAAAAAATAGTCTTAATTCTGAAGTCTACCATAGAAAATATAAGAAATTAAGAATTGTTTTTCTAAAATTTTGAAAAAACTTTTCTTAATTCCTTATATTTTATATCTATTGACTAGATCGAGAGGAGAGTATGTGAAAAAATTCGAATATATTTTGAAAGAGGAGAGTATGATTTCTGTTGATTCTATCTGCGTTAAAAGGAAGTATGTTGGCATCCCGTCTAGCCTCCGCGGTTTTTCACGGTTTCCGCGGAACTGATAAAAGATAACAACATGGTGTCTTCGGCAAAGTTGTAGTACTCGAGGTCTTCTATAACATTGCTGAAGACATCTATCTCTTATCTCATATCAGTTGCGCGCAAATCGCGCACATAAAAAAGCAAATTTTATATAGAACTTTTTTTTTCTTATCATTTTTCGCGCTTTTCGCGGAACTGATAAAAGATAAGAGATAATTGACTTCAGCAATGTTATAGAAGACCTTAAGTGCTACAACTTTGCCGAAGACACCAAGTTGTTATCTCTTATCAGTTCCGCGGAAACCGCGGAAAACCGCCAAAAATGAACATACTCGCCTTTAACCATTTTTGAGTCGAAAGAAACTTACTCTCCTCTTTCGTAACAAAGTCAGATGAACTTACTCTCCTCTCGATCTAGTCAATAGATATGGTAGACTTCAGAATTAAGACTATATTTTTCTTATTCCATATCTAAGAAAAAAAATTCTTAAATTTGGAAAAGTTTGTTTTGTGTGTACTTATCCTTATGCAAGGTACAAAATACTATGTGTGAATATAAATTTTTGGAACACGATTCGGGATGTTTATATATATTATTAGAAAATCTATTTATTTATAGCTAACAGCAGATAATTATTTGAGTATGTTCACGTTTTTACGATCTCACGTGAAACCGGTCTCCGCTAGGTACAATTGCAAAACACCAAAAATTTTGTAGAAGAAGAACATATGTATGTGGTACATAAGGAATTGTTCGAATGGACAGTATAAAGTACGATTCAGTTTAACAAAAAAAATCGTAGATATTTCGAAAATATATTTCCTCAATTTATATGTTGGGCTTAAAAACCGAGAATATGTTACGTACAAATTTAGAGCCTCAATTCAATTTCTGTGTGTGACATAACAAATAGAAAATATGATCTAAACACAATCTTTTGGATCAATTCTAGTTTTTATTGCCTGAATGTTTCCTTGTTTTTGTTCAACCGAACATCATGATTCATGAATTACATTTTTTGCCATCAAAATCGTTTTAATTTTCAATTAGAGATGGAAAGTATTTCTTGTCGGTTTCCCAAACGCTTTCAAGAATGTTGCAAGTTTCGTTGTTTGACCGGAAACGATCAACGCACGATTCGATGTAGCCATTCACCGTGGATTCATAAGTTTTCAAAGTCACTGATTCACCTGAAAAGAATAAATTTAAATTGTTAGTATAAAATACTACCAAAAATTGATAAAAGTTCTTCAAGGAACATTTCCAGAGAGTCTGTAATTACCTTGAAGATCGGTGTTAGCTTGCACCAAAATTGCTCTCGGTTTTTTATGTGCTAACACGATATCGCGCCACTTTTCCCAAGTGTACGGTTCGTTGTCGTTAGAAACCTTCGAATAGTGATTGTAGAGTTTCTCTGCGTTTTCGAAGTCACCGATCGACTTGTACGTTTGGATTTTCAACAGCACACTGTGAATAGCATCACGACCAACAGTTCCGATTTTCGATCGATCAACACTCAGTAACAAGTTCTCTCCATTCTCTGTCTCTTTGATATCAATGAGCCCCTGACCAGCTTCCAACAATGCTTGCATAAGCGCGTAGCGTGCCTGTGTATGGGCTTGCAACCATTTCTTTGTTAGCGGATCATAGAGTTCCAGGCCTACAACACCAGCCCAGATCAATGACAGCCAATTTATGTAGACAATGTCATCGATTTCTTGCTCGTCAGTTATGCCAAAAATGCTCAACACATCTCGATTCAAACTGAGATAAAGTCCAATTGCTTCGGCTCGACATTCCTCCTGAAAATGTGTGAATGCACGAAGAGAATTGAATATTTTTCTTCAAGTGACTTTTGCCAAAAGTTAATTGAATGCCTTACAAAAGATGGGCCCATCGTTCCAAATTTAGAAACGTACGTTTCACCAGGCTCATACCAAGAGCTAACGAGTTGATTGGTTAGTGGATTTTTCACGATGTCAACGTCGAAATTGTATTTTCCATTTTCATCAATGCTCAATAGCTTTCCACTTCCATGGCCCAGCAGCTCGTGAAGACCAACTTGAACCTATGCAACGAGAGTAAATTTTTCGGTATTTCGAAATAATTCAAACTCGAAGAATTTGGGACGATTTGTTATTTACTGAAAAATTTCTTTACCTCAAATGCTCGAACTTTGTACTTTTTCATTAGAATTTCATCGGCTTCCGATAAAAATTGAATGTTATCTTTGACATTTTGGCTAGCAATTATCACGTTGCCCAGTGAGACATTTTTAAAACCTTCGTTTTGCCGAATGTCTTCGTAAGGTGGAATACTAATTCCAGCCGGTACCACAGCACCATCGAATGCCAACACCTCAAGTGATGTGAAGTCAGGCTTTAAGTAGACATCCTTTTCAAAGTCTTTGCTCCATGGCAAGAGTGCAAGGAAACTTTCAGCGTTCTTGACCAAGGTGGCAAACTTTGCTGACGTTTCTTTGTCCACTATCGACACCAACGAATTGAATTCAGCTGAAAGCAAAATGCCATCGATTGATTAGCTCAAGTATGGATTAGATTTGATTTATAATATGATTACCTCGGATGCCGGCTGGATCGCGATATGGAGCAATCGTTCCCATATACGTCTCGATAACTGGCCCTTTGTCTTTGATCCAATATCTAATTCAGAATAAGAAAATGTTATTCAAACCATAAAAACTATGAATAATATTACCGATTGTACCTTGATCCCTCCTTGTGTTCATTTATGTTTCCTTCGGTGAAACTCTTGATCCAATGTTCAATCATTTGTTCTTGATTTTCGTTGGCCGCATATTTCTTGGCCTCGGCCAAATATTCATTGACCAATTTAATGATGGGGAAGTAATCGCCGCGTGTGACAACGAACGTGTAGCCTTTGTATTCTTCTGGCGGAATGGTGATACCCTCCTTGTCTTCTTGTTCAGCCGACGCCAATTTGATTTCATATGTTACACGACCATCCTGTTCAGTCTTAAAGGTACGGCAGTTGTATGCAATGATCTTTTTGATTTTAAGCCATTCCGTGACGCGATCACTGTCTTCGACAGTGCAGTTGTCGGAAAAATACGTTGAGATTCCTTTGTCACCCAAGCCAATACATTTTGTACGTTCAGTCAAATGGAAAATTGGCTTCTTACATTTTGACCATAAGTTTTCGATAACATCACATTCCAATTTGTAGGCACGACTCGACTTAACTATCAATTCAAATTGATCGACTTCGAGATTTGGCACAAATTTTGTATCACCCATACCTGTAGAGAGAAAAAAACAAGTTTTTGCCATTTTACCGATATTTTCTTGTTTTAAGTGATGAAGAAACGATACTAAGTAAAAAGTATATCTAACCTTTGTAGTTGCCAGCATTTGCAAAGAATCCACTGGTGTAAACCAAGAACGCCTGAAATCAAAATCACGTGTTAGTTCTCAATTTTTTATTTGGGCTGAAATTCCAACTACCGTAGTATCATTGTCACTGACACCAGCTGCCAGTGCAGCACGTTGGAGCTCATCGGCGGATTCCGCTTTAAAAATGCGTTGCAACAACGAATAAATCAACGGTGCTTCGGGGCTGGATTGAGTGAGCGCCACTAAACCAACATATCTAGATGCCTGATGCCAAGATGAAAATTGATGGATTTTTATTTTAACAATTTTTGTTTTCAAAATTAAGATGTTTTAATGTTCTTGTTCTTTGAAAGACATGTTTTTCTGCGTCACCTGACTGTAATAATGGGCGTATAGCTTCTCCTTATCTGTCAACAGTTTGAAAGCCGAAGCACACTTAAGGTTTTCAATTCGTTGTTTATTCGGTAACACAAAGTGTTTTTTATCCACTTGATTGTCGTGCACCATGCTTGTTATTGTTTTTATCTGCTTTAATGCTCGATAAATTGATATCTTTGTTAACCTATGTAGATTCAACATCTACCGGAATGACTTGCTATCAATTGCACTGATTGACAGTTCGCATATGGTTTTTGACAGTTCATTTGTTTACCATTCGTTCAGTGTAGGACGGGAATTTGCAGTATTCACACGATAAAAATCACGGGAATTTTATTGGAAAGAAATTTATCCGATTGAATTGCACATCGTGTGTCGAAAATAAATGAACATTTTCAAACGACCACTTGACTTTGAATGCAGAAAAAAATGACTATTGATCAATATATGGAAAATTTCAAATCCAAAGTGTTTTTTGTTCCTTTTCAACACATGAACTCTGGATAATTTCAAAATATTTTTTTTCTTACACGTATTTCGTTTTGTTTCAGATTTTTTTTCTCTTTATTCATTATTAACTGAGAGATTTATATACGATCATTAGATTATTTGTATAAATGAAAGCTATCAACTAAGAAGATATCATTCTAGAAGTTAATTCATGATTAATTCGTGTTTTGTATGTTCAGTTTTGGCAATTCACAAAGATTAAAAGTGGGTTGTTCATCTCATCGCGCTTCATTCAGCCGCTTAAAAATTAGACGAACAAAAGTGGCTGCTTTTTATTTGGTAGCGTATATGTAGAATTGAGCAATTTTTAAAACTTGAAAAATTCAAATGGATGAGTTGACAATTTTTGCTCGGAAAACCATGTAATTATTGTAGTTTGAATGGTAGGCACATTGCTTAGTCCATTACGAGCTGAAAAAGCAGGATATTCCGAATAAAATGCCCACGGGATTTCATTTTTCATAAACGAATGCGATGCATATAGATCTTCCCATGTCAAAAATTTGAATACATTTCCGCTAATTTGTTGAGCACCGCTTCTAACCTATTAATGATGTTTACAATATATTATTTAAACAAAATAGTGAAAATTAACAAAAACCAACCAATGCATCGAAAACCATGTTTTTATTTCCGATGAAATTCGCCAATTTTGAAAAACCAGCTTGGAAATCAAGAATCATCAAAGGATCACGTTCATCAACCGGTTCATTCTTCAGAAATTCCACTGTATTACGATCCAACTTAAGTTCCTTACCTAGCTCATCCGGTGTGAAAGTTGGTGTAACCAAGTCACCACTAGTGAATGCAAAACGTTCAAAAAAATACAATTGAAATTGGGAAAATTAAAGTAAATTTAAAGTTATACCTTGAATTGGCTTCATCTGAGGCGTAAAAACTATTTAAACTTTTAATGGCTGAAGCGAATTTTTGTTCGTTTTCATCTGATTGGTTGAGAAGTTGTTGGATTTTCGCTTCCAAGCTAGCAAGATCATTTCCCTCAAGTATATCAATTTTTGTCTGAAAAGAATACGCAAAAGAACGACATTTAAGTTTCACACCTCTTTCTCTCTCTGTGTATGTGTATGTGTGCATGAGTGAAAACAACAACTAATTAATATGTGATATATTTTAAGTTCTTTCTACAAAATAAATTACCTTATTTCTATAGAACAGAAACGTTGGAATGACGCTAATGTTTTCAATAGCTGATGCTTCTTGGCATTCTTGAACGTCAATTTTGAGAAAATTTACTTGTGAATATTTATTCGGCAAATATTCAAATTCTTTAGCGATCCGTTTGCATGGGCCAGACCTTTTTTAATATTTAATGGTTAAACAAGCACATTCAGATTTCTAGTTTAGAAATTTCTTACCAATTAGCTGCAAATTCAACCAAAACCAAACGAATACCAGCGGCTTGCAGCTCTTTCTGGAAATGCTCATCATCTTCGATAACACGTACACTCATATTGAATAATTATTATTTTTCAGTTAATTTGATTTTTGCAAAATTTGGATAAAACAGAAATTCTGCAATTCACGAGAGGAATAAATGATAATTTAAGTGAAATAGTACGTTTAATTCGAAATATGTATTGCCAATGACTGTCTCTTTTTTCTTGTAAAGCACACTAACACTTTGACAATTCAATGCATTTCATTTGAAAACCAACTTAATGACATTTGTCATACATTAAGTGCGGTTCACACGATTTTCACAAAGCGCATCTATATTTTGAAATAAATAGAAAAAAATAGTTCCAAAGAAGAAAAAGTTAAGAGTGAGCAAGGGAATGTATGAGCGTATGTAGTAGTAACAAGAACGAGTATATGCTAATTAATAAACAATTTTTTTGTTTGCTTTCGGTGTGCACTTTCTATTCTACAATATGCATGAGCGTGTGTGCATGTGTATTTTGCTCGCTTCCACACCTACTTCGTGTTTTAGAAGTAATTATTGCAGTGCAGAACATACAAATCATGAACTCTGGATAATTTCAAAATATTTTTCTTCTTAGTATCAATTGAAAAATATTATGTCCAAGTGAAATATATTTTATGATTCAAGAAGTCTCATTCCTACCAAACAATCATTACGAGGAACATTTAAAAAAAATCCCTTTTATCCCAAGCATCATTCGTGTGAACCAAGCTTGCATCATATGGGCTACGGATAGTTTCATTGTTTATGCAAGACGTCAAAACACAGAAGAAACATTCAATTTGAAGCTCAACAGGAATAAACATGCACATCACCAGCTGATGCATTTTTTGTGTACAACAACCAAAGATTTCTGTTTTCATCTATTTATCGTTCATCCCAAACTAAGCATCCATGGCCTTGTAATTGTTTTGAAAATTATTTAAATAGTTATTTAGTTTGTGTAATATTACAAAAAGTGTCGCATGATGTGGACGCCTCAGAAGAACATCAACAATAAATATGATCGAATTATCGCCTTGATTGATATGGACTGTGAGTTATAGAAGATTTCTTTGTTCTTCCGTTTTTCTGCTTTTCTTGTTTATTTTTCGAAGATGAAACCGCACAAACTTGAATGCGTCAATTGGTTGAATGAAATAAAAATGGAATTTCATTGAAACAGGTTTTTATTGTCAAGTAGAAGAGCGATTGAATCCGAGTTTAAAAGGCAAGCCAATCATAGTGCAACCTTTGCAGTACGATGACTATGGAGGCGGCGGGTAAAATCAATTTTCAGAATATTTTTGAGTAGTTTTCATTGAATTTCCAATGCTTCTCCACACAGAATCATTGCACTGAATTACGTAGCCAAAGCACGAGGCGTTAAGCGTAGCATGCGTGGTGATGAAGCAAAGAAACAGTGTCCTGACCTTGAATTGGTACGAGTGCCAGTCATTCGTGGAAAAGCGGACTTGTCAAAGTATCGAAATGCTGGTAAACAAGTGGCAGCTGTTCTTCAGACGTTTACACCGTTGATGACTCGAGCCAGTGTGGATGAAGCATACTTGGATCTGACGGAACGTGTTCAAAATCGACTGGCTGATATGAACAAGGTTAGATTCATGTCATTTTAAAAGTGTTTTTTCCACAAATCCAAATTTTAAAGACACTTTCGAAATATTCATTCGAATAATAAAACGAACGATTTATTTCAGGGCACATACTCATTACACTCACGTGCTCTTGAAAGCACGTTTGCCGTAGGTTACGAAACCATAGCTGAATATGTGCAATATGTTACCAATAAAGTGACTCACGCCAACGAAGATGCAGAAGACGATTTGGAACATCTGCCGGAAGAAGATCAAGAGTCATTCCAGAAAAGTGACATAAAATTGTTGATTGCTTCATCGATTGTGAATGAAATACGAGCCGAAGTGTTGGAAAAAACTGGTTTTGAGTGTTCGGCTGGCATTGCCCACAACAAAACACTCGCTAAACTAGTTTGTGGCTTGAATAAACCAAACAAGCAGACATTATTGCCACTTAAGCGAGTTCATCAATTTTATAGGTAGGAAAAATGTGTGTCGAAATTACAACATTCTCGATTTGAATAACAAAAATCATGTGTTTCACCATCGAAGTAATACAGAAACGATTCGATAGTTTGAAAATAAAATTTGTTACTCAATATAGAATTGTGCATTGCTTCTGTTTCGTCCACAGAACTCTACCCATTAAAAAGGTTCAAGGATTGGGTGGAAAATTGGGCGAGAAGATTTGTGAAGACTTGAACGTTCAGTTTATGTCCGAATTGCTGCAATTTTCCAAAGAAGATCTTCTGAAGCAGTGTGATGAAAGAAATAGCAAATGGTTGTACAATTTAGCTCGCGGTATCGACTTGGAAGCGGTCACTCCACGTTTAGTACCAAAGAGCATTAGCTGCAGTAAAATGTTTCCACGACAAAATGCCATTGCTGACATGTCAACGTTGAATCACTGGCTGCATGAGATTGTTAAAGATGTGGTTGAACGCGTTGAAGAGGATGAATTTGAAAATAATCGACGGCCAAAGCAAATCGTGGTCAGTTTCAGTCAAAGTGTCAACAATGCGGATGTGTCCAGCTCTCGATCGATTAATTTTACCATAAATGACGAAGATAAAATTGTGAACGATGCAATTGAAGTGATTAGACGAAATACGTCAAAGTTTTTGAAACCCGATGACGAAATGGCTTTGAATAATCCCATCAAGTTTTTGGGTTTCAATGTGTGCAAATTTGAGAGTTTGGATACAAAGCGAGGTAAAACCATCGAAGACATGTTTCGAAGGAGTTTCCAGAAGAAGGAAGAACAAAGTGTGGCCGAAACAAGCAATGGTCCAGTAGAAGATGATTCCATGGCAATTGAAACATCTATAGCGCATGAGAATCAAAATGAACAACCGCAAAGTAGTTCACTTTTCGATAAGTATCACATAGAATTTAACGTGGATGATGTTGACTCCTCAGATGATGAAGAAAGCGAAAGCGGCTCCCCGATCGACGCTTTGACAAAAGCAGCTTATCAAATGAATCAAAATATAAAAAATCATCTACTCGACTCACCGGGTCCATCCACATCAACAAGAACGAATTACGAGCAAAATTATGCTGAATTTTATCGACCTACAGCGCAAGAGCAACCGAAGACTGAATGTAGTCAATGTGGCAAAATGATTTTAGTGTCCGAAATGCAAGTACACACCGATGCACATTTGGCGTTTCAATTGAACCAAGAACAACGTGCTGAATTCCAGAACCAATTGAAACGAACTAACCCATCGAATACTCCAGTCAAGAAGAAACAGAAGGTCGAGCTCACAAAGTCATCAGATAAAAAGGCTGAAACGACATCGATTCAAAAGTTTCTGGTCAAGAAGCGAGAAACCACACCAGAGCCATCGACAAGCACAGCAGTTGAGGTTAAAAAGTGTACAGAGTGCGGCAAAGCGATTCCAATAATTGAACTCTTTGAACACATGGACTTTCATGCAGCAAAAAGACTTCACGACGAATTGATGAAGAACGAAGCAAAGGCCAATCGATCGAATAATAACAGCGTACAGAAGTCAATTAATAACATTTTGAGCGCGAGTAAAAGCAAGAAGGGAAACAAAAAAGGCCCAAACACAAAGAATCCAGCGGTGAGGAATATCACGGCGTTTTTCCAAAGTATTGAATAGACGATTGATAGAATTAAATTGCAACTTTTTTATCAGCTTGAAATGGGATACGATTCGGCATGCAAATTTGCTAGTAAATGAATAAAAAGACTGAAGAAATTAAAATATAACACGTATTTCATTTTGTTTCAGATTTTTTTTTCTCTTTATTCATTATTAACTGAGAGATTTATATACGATCATTAGATTATTTGTATAAATGAAAGCTATCAACTAAGAAGATATCATTCTAGAAGTTAATTCAAGATTAATTTTTGTTTTGTATGTTCAGTTTTGGCAATTCATAAAGATTAAAAGTAGGTTGTTCATCTCATCGCGCTTCATTCAGCCGCTTAAAAATTAGACAAATAAAAGTAGTTGCCTTTTATTTGGTAGCGTATATATGGAATTGAGCAATTTTTTTCTCTCTCTTTTCGTTTTTGTTTTCATAGAATAAAGCAGAAGTCCAACTAGAACACGCTAGATAGATTCAAAGTTTGGTTTTTCAATAGGTCGACGATGATTACATAAGATTTTTTAACTGCTTTGAGTTGGTTTTAATTCGCTAAAGATATTTTGTTTTGAAAAAGAAAATGAAATCTGTTTAGGTCTTATCTACGTTACAAAAACTCGATGTGTGGTCAATTATTGAACGATATTTGTTTGAATTCAAAGATTTGTAAAATTCATCGAAACTACAGAGTAATCGAAAAATATCTATGGGACTTTCTATCTCTGTATCTATCATTTCCCTGGTTGCGTGGAAAAATAGGTTTTAATTTTTTTGTCTATTTTATTGAATTGATTTTTTTTTTTGAAATCTTGAACGTCCTAAACTGGATTAAAATTTCCAAAGATTTTATTGCACTCAAATCCAATCCACTTGCATTAGGTCTAGATTAGTTGTGTATTCAGTCGTATCAATGTCGATTCAAGGCGTTTTCCCCTAAGTAATTATAACAAATTGTCTTCAAACATCGCCTCATTCATAGTCCTTAATTCATATGGTATTTCTTTATTATCTATTTTGTTTAGTCAATGTCTAAGAATATGCAAACGTATGATTGCTCCAAAAAATGTCTAAGCTTCAGATTGAGGTCTCTGAGAATGTCAAATCAACAAGCTTCTCTCTCGTTCCCCTTTCACTCCCGTTCATCAATTCACTTCCAAACCATTAAACGCACAAAATAGCAACATGATTCATATAAAAATATTTGACTTTTCTGTATTCTAATGCGCCTTTTCAATTTGCACAAAATTTCAGTTTATTCGTGGGCTGTTTTATCACTCAAGTTGTTTTTTTCTTCCATTTTTGATATAATTTTCTTTTGTTTTCAATATTTGTTCTGCTTTTTTTTTTTATTTGAGCAAATGAGTTTCGTAATAAAAAAAAATGTGCCTAAAAAGGTTAAACTGTTTTTAAAAACACCCTTTGCTTGCATCTCTTACTCATTCCCCGTTCTAATGAACGCACATTTCGGGAGGTATAAATTGGAAGCTTCCACTTGTATCTTTTATCTTTATTTTTTTTTAGTTTAAATTACATAAAAATGGTTCGTTCTTTTGTCTAACACAAAGTAAACGAGGAAAACACAATATTTTTCCACTTGTTTCTACGGTGAAATAATAACAAAAACAAATCTAACGGAACAAACAGGTTTGTTGAATATTATTATTATTCACTGTTTCTTTTTTGTTTTACTCTTCTCAAAAACTAATTCAACAATTCGTCTCGGCAATAAAAAAAAAACAAATTAAGATAAATTTATGTTAATCATACAGCAACAAAAATTGGAATTTTTTTTCTAAAAAAACTGCTGATTAAATGCATGGATAAAGTAATTGCGGCACTACACTTCCAAGTCCAATAGTTCAGCAATTTAACATCGGCTGACGTCACATGTTTTCTTCTCGATAAAACTGTCTCTAGATAAAATTGTTTTTATCAGAACTTGTGAAGTGTAACGCCACTCTATTTCTTTATCAACACACATTTTACAGCGATTTGGTTTTATTTCCATACTTTCACTGTGTCACACTAAAAATCACGTTACGTTGTGCGATGTCTTTTTTTTGTGTGTTTTGTGCTTACTTCTTCCTAGCTTGCAAGAAGCAGTATAGAATGCCCGCTTGTGCCATAACATCGACTGTGCTCATTTCCAACTGATCCTTCTGCTTGGGCTGGTTCAAAGCGGATCGCAGTAATGTTGGTCCAAACACCATCGCCAAGTTATGCAGTGACATTTTATTCTCATTTTCCTGTTGATGAACTCTGTTCGGGAGAGGAACGTATAAATTAGAGATTTTGTATCAACTATCATGCAAGAGGTATATGCGACTTGAGTGATAAATATTCCAAATTGATTCGTCTAAAGTGTGTGAAGAGCAACAACTCTAATCGAAGAAATTCTTCATAAGTATTCATTTTTATCCGAAAATGTACTCACCTCAATAAATGATCTAGAATATAGTTGATGGTTGCTTTGCTCTGTGGCGGCACATCGACGAATATCTTCTGTAATTCATGGCTTAGTTCATTCTCATTGATATTGCTAAATTTATTGAATGTCTCGATGAGACGGCGATACAGAACGTCTGTGAATAGGGTTTCGGGCAGTTCGCGTAGATATGATTTGAAAATGCCGGTCACGGAATGAACATCCACATCCTTCAATTGTTGTTCGGCTTCATAATTGTCTGTTAGCAGAGAAAAATGGTTAAGAACAATGTTTGAGGTGCGAAAATAGACCAATAACATACTCGTTTCGAATGCTTTCTTGAGTCGAGCCAAATCTGATGCGGATCCACTGACTCGATAAATACCAACTTCCAGCATTCCACGACGTTCAACTTCTCGAATGCATGAAGTGATGATAAATGGAATGTCTCGTTTTTCACGTCTGTTTCAAGGAAAGAAAAATATCATTAGCTCAAACTGTTTGATTTCTGGTCTTTTTCTCAATGTTTAAAATCACTCACTTTAATACTTGTTGGAATTTAACACCGAATATTGGTCCTGGTTTTGTTGTTGGCACTCGACATGATTGAAGCTCTTCATTGGCAAACGTGATGATAATATTCAAGGTGATTGCATCGGAGAGTTTGAGCGATTTGGCAATTGGAGCATCTTCGAGCCAATTTCGGCTTAACTGGAATTTCATATAGAAATATTCCATAAAAAATCGATTTTCGAAGCCACATTCGATTAATTGAGTTTAATTTCATTAATTGAAAACCTACCCGTAAAACATGTTCAGCCTTCAACATTGGCCTGGTGTTGCCTGTGTCTTCATACAGCAAAAATCTCATATTCTGGCATCCTTCAAGTTCGATGAGGAAGTTCTCGTTCCATTGTGGATTGACACAATTTGTTGGTGTTTTGGTTGTAGCTTTGTGGAAATAATGCCCGTACGAGTCAGCCTCGACACAACAAAACAGATCGGATGGTTTGTCAAAGCCAGACACTCCGATAATCGTGAGATGTAAGTCTCCAATGAGTAAACTTTCATCGCGACTGTTTCGCATCAGATACGAACCCATTTCGGTTTTAACGAACGTCTGACAAGCGGCAATCCATGCTTGCAAATCCAATAAACTCACTTGTTGTGCACTCGGCAGATTACATGACTCCTGCAAATTGATTATGGTATCAATCCACTGGTTACGTTCAAATTGTGAGCTCAGGAAGAATGTGGAAATTTTGTTATTCGTTTTGTTGCCCAAACGAAAGACCAACGTGGGTGATGCCAACACCAATTGAGCTTCGATATCGTGCAATTTCTTGCGACATTTATCGATCGAGCGTGAGCTGTAGAGTTTGTGCTTTTTATCGTCACGTTCCTCGGCTAATATCAAATCTCGTACGGCCGAAGCTTGCGTTTTCAGCGACAACAAATTCGACGGATTGTTCTCTTTAGCATCAATTCCGAGCGGATTGTTTATGGTCGATGCGCTTGGGCTACGCAGTACAAAGTCATCACTTGGGATGAAAATATCTTTGAGACTTATGAACCATTTTAACTCAAACTCGAATCGATCACGACCGCTCGCTTTGTATTTTGCACATGCAATCACATCGTTGAACAAGAATAAGTGTCGCAATTTTCGGTGACCATCCACCAGCTCAACGATGAATGAGTTCTTCACCAAGCGTCTCAATGCTTTGTCTTCACTCTGGAATTTTAAAGGGAAATTGATTGGTGAGTTAGATCTTTTCTGATATTAAATTCGAATTAAAGGTAAACTACTCAGTTTCGTTGCTACTAACCGAACTTTTGTTCTGAACCACATTGAATTCCGACAGTAATTTGTCAAAATGTTTCTGTGACTGAATCAATGGTTTGTAATCAGCATGTGTCGAAGGGGTTTCATTGATCAAATCTTTCAGAACTAATGCATTCTTCTGCAAACGCGCCACTGGCTTGTGCAACAAGTCTTCTAACGTTAATAGCTGTTCATTCTGTGAGTTCAGTACGATTTTCGACACAATCTCTTTGAATTGTGTATTATTCTCTCCACATTTCTTTACCGTGTCAATGGCTTGGCCATAGTTGTGCAAAAATGCACCGTAAATGTGAATATGTTTGGCAAGTTCCTCAAACGCATCGCCGATGTGAATGTCTCTGCTTTCGTTTGCAATTTTATTTTTTAGTGATGTCAAAAATTCAGAATGAACCACATGCAATTCTTCCACTTTGAAGAACATCGTTTGTAGCTCATTTCTACTGATAACTGGTCGTGATGTGGTTAAGGTTGCTGCCATTGCTTTCATGTACTGGAAAAGAATTAAAATGATGATTGAAAAATGTGCCAAAAGTCAAAACTCCTCTTCTGATTTGGAAGAAGAAATGTTCCAACTGAATGATGGGAAAATTACGAGACTTACATGTAACATCTTCGTTAGGCATTCCACGTAGAATGTTTCACTAGTGATAATACTGCTAACTATGTTTCGAATCTGGACATTGCGATGATTATCTGCATGCTGTTGCAACAACAACAACAACAAAAAGATTTGCTTTAGTTAATCGTTCAGGTTCATTGAAATTCATCGATTCTTACCGCAACGGCCTTAATTCGTGAGGGTAGCACATTTTTGGTATCATCAATAATGGACCGTGGTGGTGGAGAAGAAGTGCCTGCATCAAGATCGTCGTCGCTCTCATTCGAGCTATCCCGCAGCTTGCGATTTTGCCTGCTGAAAACAAAACCAACACATTTTCAATACTCTCAATGAGTCAGAGAAGAAAATAATTTTCAAAATGCTTACGACAAAAAGTAGTCGATGTTGATATAGTTGGATACTCGTTCTCCGACCTGGCCACTTTCCACACTCAGTTGGCTGTCCAACACCTTTGGCAATGAATTCGTTCTCAAATCACTTTCGTCGGCCTCGATTTCATCGTCAGTCTCTTCAATCGGCACCGTATCATAGTACGGTTCGGTATCAATATGCCCGCCACTATTATTGTGCTCGATTGTGCTATGCGAATTGTTTGCGCTGGTGTTATTTGCATTTGGAACAACGGCCTTGAGTCCATCTGAACTCAGTGATGATATTGATTCGTAGCTTTTTATCTGAAAAAGCCAACAAAAAAAAAATTAATCAACCATGAAAATATTTGCCTTCCGGGATTTTTTCCCATTTAATCTCGCCTTACACGTTCTGATATTGGATATGACTCAACAACGTGCAATGTTTCCTCATTATTTGTACTGTTGATAAGACTTTCGGAGCTGCTGTTTTGACCGGATTTTGTGATGCTACCGTGTTGTGTGTACTTGAGCAAAACCGACGACAATTTCTCGTCGTTGTGCTTATGCCGGAGAAACTCGGATGGTTTGACATTTGAATCAGATGAGCAGGTCGATTGATTATTGCTTGGCGATTGCGGATGGCCAAATGTCGTTGTCGACGGTGATGGCGGTGTTTCAGTGATTGTGGTCGGTGTGTCAGGCACTGGGCCAATACGTCGTGCCACTTTTGGCGGTGGTCTGCAATACAAAATTCAATGTTTATTAAACTGTGTTTCATTCGGAATTGGCAAAGTATAAACAAAGCAAAAGCCAAAATGAAACAATAAAGATAAAGCCAATGATAGGTGTGCTTACCTTGGCGGAATTTTCCGTCTAATCTCCACAGTTTGCACGGGTGATGCATTATTTTCGTCATTCTTTTCAATGACTGTCGACTGTGTTTCGTCTTTGGGCTCCTCTTGCTGCTGCTGTTGCTGCTGCTGCTGCTGTGGCCGTTGCTGTTGCGGCAATGTGGGCGCTGGTGTTGTTGGTTCTGGTTTTGAATCCACATTATCGTTTGCAGCAATCGAAATTGATGTGGATGTCGGTGATGTAGCAATTGATGTTGGAATGGGCGATGGATCTTTTACTTCGATAACAGTCACAAAACTGGTTGGTGTTTCAGATCGCGTTGGCGACGCAATCTTTGAATCGTCCACATTTTTGAGCTGTGTATTCCGTAAATGTGAAGTCAACTCATCGATGCACTGATGATGATGCAATGTGCCTTGTTCGCGGCTCTGATTCAATTTTTCCACTTTACTCCGTATGGCTGCCATTGAGTTTGCGAATTCACTCGATTCTGTGTCAATGGTTTGCAAATTGTCGCTCACACTACCGTTCTACATAGAAACATGGAATTGATGACGAAAAAAAAAATAATTCAACAAAATATTAATAACACTGTTCCTCAATTAAATTATCAGAAAAAATCGCTGGGCTGTGTACGCACACGGCCGTGTGTATGTATATGCGTTAGATTGATATGGGAGCCGAAGTGAGGGAAACAAAAAAGACAAACAAATAGATAAGTGAAGTGCAAATATGAGTCACATTTAAAGCATATGGACTCATGTGATAATTTAGGTGTAAATAAATTCGATTGTGTTTGTATACAGGAAACGTTGAACGAAGCAACGGGAATAAAAACAATGCAAAATTATATGAGAGACGATGAGTTAGGGTAAAGTCGTGGCTATTTGATTTTGACAACGATTTCTATTTATAAATACAAGCACAATATTTTGATGACAGAAAAAAACAACAACACGAAATAATCACTACATAGCTAGACACAACACATATAAGCGTTTCCGAATGCGTTGCATATGGAACACGATTACGATTCAGAGATATACGTGTTTCCAGAGTTGATAATTGTGATGCGATATGCATGTAGAGAGAGAGAGAGAGTGAGCGTGAGGCACAATAAAAATGCCCACCGAACATTCTATGACAAATTAGAATCAATTAAACGCTGAATAATTCATAACCCGGTGGCCCTAGCACACACACACACACCATATATATTCGAAATTCACAGAAAAGAAGCATTTAGTCATTCACAAATGAAATGTGTACCGTTGCTCAATGTGTTATATGCGAAGCGAGAGAGCAAAGGAGAGAGAGAGAAAGAACATGATACAGATACGTTTTTGTGGGCAACGCAGCGAGCATTATAACGAAATGCTTCATAATAAATATTTCATGCATATTACACATACCCCGTTAATCGATACTGATGTGTGCTCGTCATTTGTTGCACTGCCTATGTCATCACTTTTTTCCGTTTGCTTATCGATCGATTGGTCGACGGTGATGGTGGCAACAGCGGCGGCGGCGACAGATGATGCGTTCTGTTTCTCATCTTCATCGGACGGTTCAAGTGGAATCGATAGATCACCACCTGCTTTGCGAAACTCTTCGACATCGCCGAGTAAACGCTCCAAATATTCCACATAGAGCATCTCTTGTTCGAGCTCTTTGCTTAAGTCGTCAACCTTTTGTTTATGTCTCTGCAGGCTAACCCTCACATCGGCCTCCCACTCGCTAGACAGCGAATTGTCGGGAAATCGCTTCAGCCACATTCGTCGAAAATCCGAAAAAACACTCATTTTCACTTTTGGCACACACGAATTATTTTCTTTTTGGCAATGAACAATTTCAATAATACTTTTTTATTGCTGTTTTACACTTCTTTTAGCGGCCAATCACTTTTGCGCCCGTTTTTTTCTATCCTTTTTCTTCTATTTCTTTTGTTTCTTTCTAATTATTACAATCGTATTCCCCTGAACGTTCTCTCTAACACTAATTCCAACTAATTTGATTCGTAATTCAGCATTGATTATTCGAGCGCATGCACCAGCAAAGCGCAATCATCAGTACATGAAAATGCGAAATCGTAACAATATATTACTCGCTCTCGATACACACGATATAACAAACAAAACAAAATTATTATGCCCAAAACATTTCCGCACACACAATATCTATATGCAACGTAACTTTTTTTTTCTCGTTGTTGTTGCTCTTTTTTCAAGTGTGTTTTTACTACTCTATTTTTTCTTGCGTTTTCACAAGACACGCAATTTTTTTTTTACACGTACACATTCACATCTGCCACTCTTTGCTTTGGATTTTCTAAATGGTATACAAAATAAAAACACTTTTCTCTTCTGCACTTATTTCACCTTTTTTTTTTACTATTATTATATCACCAAAAATTGCGATTGGCTCATTTTTTGTGTTACATTTTTACGGGTGAATTTTTTTCGATGATTTTTTGGTAAATTTTCACCACCGAGATAGAAAAAAAAATACACAACGTTTGATACGCACATACGATTCGAATCGATGAAATGCAAACCAAATCGATCAGCTAGAAAATGAAACGATGTGTGTGTTTCACTTTAGATGGTTTGCTGTGGCTTCTTTGTGCATTTACTCATTTTCACCAGCGATGACAAATGCCAGATAAACAAACAAAATTTCGAACGAAACACTGTGTTTTGCAATACAAATTCGGTTACTCAGCTGTGTGAAGAGAAAAATAATTGATTGATTGATTTTTCGTTGCGGTGTACAAAAGCATCGAGTTTTCCTGTTTTGGTTTTTCTCGTGTAGTTTTTTTTTCTTCTTCTCGTGTGTATCGCCCAATCCGATGCTACTGCTGTTGTTGCTTCTTTTCTGCCAACACTTGACTACGATAAAACTATATGCTTCATTATTGTATCAGTATGGTGATTTACACTGTAGTTACTTGCCGTGCTTTCCGTACCTTGTGCAAGCATCGACTGTCAATTTTAAGGCGTATTGTGTGCACACTCATCCATTCGCAATGAGACGGTGATGTTTGTATTTGTGAGTGTGTCTGCTATACTAACAATATTTTGTATGCAAGGTGCGTTCAGTCAATCGGCGAATGAACAAATAAAAAAAAAAAGAATCTCTGGTTTCTTTTCATTCACACGACGGTCTTTGGCATTCAATGAATTTCAATCATCATTTTGGATATTTATTGCAATGAACAAATATATGCATCGAATTCAGAATGACGATTAATTCAATTGGAAGAGTGAAAAAAAAAATTGAATTTCACAAAATGACCCGGCCGATGTGAAAGTTTTTTTTTTCTTCTTTATTTACTTCAAGACATTTACAACAACTTGAACATGTCCAAAGATGTTTGACGTCAAACGCACGGAACATACCCCAAATGTTTTGTTTGTGTCTTTGCACATATCTGTCTCAGAACATCACAATGCATTCAGGCCTTGTGAGATACCAATGTCACAATGTGATTGCACCGAATTGTTGTTTAATTTTGCACACAAATAATAATCAAACCTATTGTTTATTGTTCAGTTTCCGGTCACTTTATCTTTTATTTCTAATCTTTTATAAATGCCAAAGTTAAATTTTTTCTTCATAAATTCCAAATGATTTTACGTTGTTCGTGTGACGTGCAAATTTAGTCTAAATTCAAATTTCTCTGCACTACTTATGCTCTACTGTCGTGATTTTTTGACCTGATTCTTACTGTTCCCCGTTTGATTCTGTCGTTTTCCGATTCGCATCGGGCTGTAGTCGCTTGATGAGGCGCAATCGCTCTTCAATCTCATTTTTAATGAGCGGTTTGTAGATGTGACCTTCACCCAGTTTTTCCATTTCTTCCAACCAATCCATTCGCTCTTGTATCTCATGCAATACTATAGGACAATAACAGAAAAAAATCATACGCAAGGACAAAATTTTAGTTAACTAGTTCACATATGATGGATGCTCTTTCACATATTACATTCATCCACCGGATCGATTTCACCGTCGTCATCTTTCGATGGACTCATCACACCGCGTAGATTTGGTTCATTTTCGATGGAAAATTCATGCTTTAATCCACTCATTTTCTCTTGTAAACGGACTTTCTTTAGCTCAGATGGCTCGTAATGTGTCGGTATGAACCTACATCAATTTTCAATTGGACAATATTTATATGTATATATTATATAATATGTATGGTCAATGTGACTTTGTTTGAATGGTAAACAGAATACGGTGAGATTTGGGAATGGGTGATTATTATATAGTAGTTTGTATGGGCAATCATTGACTAGCAGTAAGCATAGTATAGGGTAAGTATGTTTCTAAAGAGACTTATAAAAATGGGTTGATGAAAACCATACTTGGTTCGATCGTAGCCACCGCTTGCTTTAATCGCATCCAATGTACGGCGTCTTGCATTTTTCACACGCATTTTATCGAAACCAGGAAAAGTGTTATTTGCAGTCTTTGCTATCGGTTTAGATACCGGTAACGATTGACCTGACCGAAGAATATAGTTTATTTTGTTTCGCTGCATTATACTTAGCTTCTGCTCTTCCATCAGCACTACAAACAGATAATGATTGACAAAGAAATTCGGATATTTATATTAAACTATAGGAACTGGATGAGGTAAAAATTGAGTAAATACTTGATGTCAAGAAAATAAAACCGAAAGATCAAAAAAGACAAAAGCCTCGTTAAAAATCTTCATTAACTTCCAATTCAATAGTTCAAGCATACTTTCAATCAACTTACAATATAAAAAGTCATGCGTTTCTTTGCTGTATTGAACCTTGGGCAAATTGAAAATACCGCCTTTGGCAACACGTGTGCTCGGCCAGTTAACATCTTCTTTGTTTGTTTCCATTTTTTTCTTCAAATTTTCGATTTAATTTTCCCGTTGATTGATTTTCTCCTCACAAATGAAGTGGTTTTAAAATAAGTCTATTCAAATCGAAATGCGGCTTCAAACTGTTTATTCCACAATGCCATCAATAGCATTTGTTTACAAGTGACAAGAAAAATTACGTTACCGTAGCAATTACATAGTCGGTTGCTTGTTATTTCTATTCAAATCTGCAGTAAAAACGAAAATGCGTCGTTAAATCGATAGAAAACCTCACCTCAGTTGTTGCATTCATTGCAATTCAACCACAAAATTCAGAATATTTGATTACAGCGAATGAAAGGGTAAAACAAAATAACAAAAATAAGACGACAAAAAAACCACTACTGTCATGTTCACTGAATATTCATTTATTCCGTTTCACATTGGTTACAAACATCAGCTTTGTAAAATTTTTATTATGTGTTTTTTTCTTATGCGCGTATGAAAAAATTTAACCTTGTTTCTGTGCCAATTCGCGTGCCTTGGCTTTTTCCAATTTAGCGATACGGGCCATACTCTTGGCACCAAGAAGACCACCGCCCCAGTGACGACGAATTTCATCGGCACGTTCGTTGTAGTTGGTCTTGAGGGTTTCAACCAATTTGGTCAAGTTTGAACGGTCGGCAGCATCGACGGCGGACAATGCAACAGCCGAGCAGGTCTTGCGACGAACCAATGTTCCCAAACGAGCCTTTCCTTTCACAATACAGTATGGAACGCCCATTTTACGGCACAAAGCTGGCAAGAACAAAACAACTTCCAATGGATCGACATCGTGAGCGATGACAACCAATTGAGCTTTCTTCTGTTCAACGAGCTTGGTAACGGTGTTGGTGCCGGCACGAACAAAGAGTGGCTTCTTTTTTGGTTGGGCTTCCTTACCCTTAGCCTTAGCTTCAGCTTGTTTCTTTAAACGTTGCTTCTTGGCCAATTTGGATTCTGGGCGGTATTTCTCCAACAATTTGAACAATTGAACAGCGGTTTGCTTGTCAACGGTTTGGCTAAATTGGTTGATTGGTGGTGGGATCTTCAAACGTTTTTGCAAAATAATGCGTTGACGTTGGACACGCACGTATTTTGGCCAACGAACGAATCGTGACAAATCACGTTTTGGTTGGATGTTTTGACCTGAAAAATTTACAAAACACATGTCCATTAATTTTTGATAACATTTTGCTTGATCAGTGATCAGGTGTGAGTGTCGAATGTTAGCGACAAAAATGACTTACCAATGCCGAAATTCTTTGGTCGCTTTTCGAACAATGGGTTGACAACCTTCTTTGGTTCAACCTTCTTGACGGCCAAAGGTGCTGGGGCAACCTTTTTGCTTGAGCTGACAGCCTTCTTCTTCGGGCGTGGCTGAAAATTAAGCAAAAATCGATTTAGTTTCCGGGTATTGCAGAAAAATAATCACACAAAACACGTTGAGTTGTGGTAAGTGAATGCAAAATCAGGTTATGCTTAAGTCGATGTCATATGTGATACACATTTGTTAGCAAAACGGCATGGGATGACAATACCTGTCTCCTACTCAAGTGTTTAACCAAGAAATTCATGACTTTTTTTTACTTTTGCAAAGCTTATAACTTTTGTTTTAATAAGTTCTTTTTGTGGATTTCAACAATTCAAAAACTCAATGTGGTCAAATCACTGAACACACACGAAAAACTTCATCAATGATACGTCAACATAACCATCAAATTGCATTCACTTGTACTACGCAAACGAAGATTTTTTTAAACAAATAAATTTTCCGAAAAATTCGTAATAAATCCAAAAAATGTTATGTGAATTATAAAAAAGAATGTTTTCTACCTTTTTGACGACCATTTTCACGCGATTTTCTCAAACGATGATAATAAAAACTTGAGATTATTCAGATCGCTTCACACAGTGAATCCGATCCAATTCAATGTTTTTACGAAAAGACTTTTGAAAAGCAATGCGAGCCGGAACTATAGCTCTTGTCAACGAAAACACATGAACCTCAATCTGCGTGAAGTTGGTTGCTGCCACAAAAAGATTGTCACTGATGAAAAGCCTTTGTCGTCTGCTGTAATCGGCTTTCTCTTCTCCTCTGTTATTTTCGATAAATGGAATTATTCAATAGGGAAAAAAATTTATTTTTTTCAATTCAAAAATTTTTTTTTAAATAAATTATTCTCTTGAACAATTATTTTTCATTTTTTCAAACAAAATATCGATTTACATTCAAAAAATGAACAAATTTCTTGCAACTACAGAAAAAGTGTTGCCAACGTTGCCGTCTTTATCACGTATTGTAAATAGAAAGTGTCATTGTGATTTACAAATGGCGTACGATTTGTGCAAGGTGCATTGTGCCAATCGAATCTGTTCAAGTGCAATAAATAAATAAATACAATTTGCAGCTAAATTTATGTGTACAAATTCGAATAAACACTCAAATTGAAATAGTTTCGATGCAAACATTTGGCCAGTGTTGTGAAAAAGTCTAGTATTTCGACGATTCGGTTCACCTTGGAGTTAATCCGTACAAGTGTAAATATGATACATTGACTGAACACAAAACAAAGTCATAAAAATGATGGTGAAATGAGAACTGCATTTATGTATATTATTAGCAACAGGTTGAATTTTTAGATGCTTTCGTCTCTTAACTCATCCATTCACATGCATTTATCGAAAATGTAACATTTTCATTACGATCTACCGCAAATAAACGAATTCAGTTTTAATATTTTCCCGTGCCATTTAAATTGAAGAGTTGCATTAAACAAACAAAAAAACAATAAATCACATCGAACATCTTTGACATTTAACAAATTCATTGACCTTTTGCCCACCATTGATTTTGTTCACCATTCATTCAATTGGCTTCTGTTTTTTCTGGTTGCATCGCAAATAAACAGATAAATGGATTCTATGGCGCATATAGCAATGCAAGAAAGTTGATTTGAAATTAGTGCGATTTCGGAGTGTGAATAAAATGGGGCATGCTGTTGTTGTTTGGGAATATGAGTCGTGCCATCGCAGCAATGCCAACTGGTTACCGTACACCCCAGCCGTTTCACAGTTACTCGAACGAGCCCATGGGAAAAAGCTAACCAGAGTACTGCTTGGTGATGCTGATCCCAGCTTGGACCAATACATTGTCAATATTCGGACAATGGTACAATGCAGCGAATTAGAAGAAAGTGCAGGTAAGTGCAGACACTTTTCGATGCTTTTTTTCAAGGATTTTAAACAAAATTTCAGGTTTCAACGTTAATTCAAAAGAAAAAAAAATTCCATATGAATTGAGCAAAGAACTATGATTGTAAATGGATTGAATAAATTATTTAAATTCAATTTATTCGTTTTTATAGACTTTCCCTTGATCAAAGTTCGCCGAAAGATGTACAAGCCAACGACAACGGCTGGCAAAGGTATCAAATGGGAATGGCTGAGTTTGACCACCTCCGAATGGAATATGTACAATATGGATGTGCAAAATATCATTGAAGATGCTTGGTCAAAGGTAATCTCTTCTTTTTATCAGCTCTTTATAGATAGATCATCATGTCAATCTCTATTTTCCAGGGCATTCAAATGTACGATTTCATGAGCACCACTCTGAATCTTCCATATCGTATCAACCTAAGTAATTTAACCGAAATTCGCCATACAAATGGAGCGATAAAGCGAATACGACGTGTTCAACAGGCTCCATATCCGTTGATCAAAGTGAATCCAGATGTAGAATTATTCGGTGTCCTAGACACAGTAGAACGTTCAACAAACATTATTGTGCCAGCCAATGTAGCCAGTTTAAAGCAATTGCCGCCAACTTCAGCGCCAAGTAAATCGAAAAAACTCTTTCCAAATTTAGTCAAGTCGAAACATCAAACGTCTGCCCCAAACGATGGTAATGCGTCTAATGGTGCTTCGAATACGAGTTCATCGTCGAGTGGTTCCAGTTCATCGAAATTGGCCCGGCAGATATTCAACAATTTGAACATATTTAGTAATAAGCAGCACAGTCACAACGATCAACCGCAAAATAGTCCAAATTTGACGCAGTCAAAGCAACAATTGAATACAAATCCAATGAAACTGGAACCGGTTTCCAGTTTACGCAGAAGTATTGAAATTGGCCATCAAACTCATCATCGTCGACTGAGTAACAAAAGCAATAGTTCCACGGCATCAACACAAAATCTAATCGCTTCGCGGCACAGCCGACGTTCGTATCGATCACAAGACGATGACTTGTATTTGGAAACAGACGGCGACAGTAGCTGTTATAGTGCAAATGTCTCGTTGGGTGGAGGAAATCTCAATGCGTACGGCATTCGTAGACCAAGTGTTGATACAATCTCCACATATTTGAGCCATGAAAGTAACGAACGACTGCACTATGCAGCCACGGACTCGTTTAATGGAGACGATGATGTCTTTTTGCCACCGCACAAAATCAACGGATCAATTGTGGGCGTGGACGCAGACAGTGACAGTATCAGTCGATTTGTGAATGTCGTTCATCCAGAATGGCCAAAATGTCGACCGTGTGTCATTTGCCTTGAAGAATTACAGCATAGTCCTAATAATCCAGCCGTTTCGTTGATCCGATGCGAACATTTGATGCATTTGAACTGTCTGAACCATTTGATCATAACGCAAAGTGAACAACAACAAAAACAATCACCGGAGAATAACCGAAGAAATACGCCATTGTATATTGAGTGCCCAGTTTGTGGCATTGTGTATGGGGAAAAGTACGGAAATCAACCAGCTGGTACTATGACTTGGAGTATCATCCCGAAGCAAGTGGCCGGCCATGAAGGACAAAACACCATTCAAATTATTTATAAGTAAGTTTTTCATACAAAAAAAACGCGATTTTTTTTTCTTCAAATCTCAAAATCATCATTTTAACTTTTGAATTTACTTTGATAGTATTGCGTCTGGAGTACAAACTGAGCAACATCCACATCCTGGACGATCATTTTTCGCTGTCGGTTTCCCAAGAACAACATATATTCCAGATTGTCCCTTGGGACGAAAGGTAGGCGTGTTAAAAAGAGATCTGAAGAAAAATGTGTTTTTCTTATTTTTATAAGTTGTTTCCATCCCCGTTTACTTTTCGCTTTATTTTTATCCTTAAAGAGAATGAAAATTCCCATGCAATTGTTACTTACAATTCATTCAGAAAATATTTCCACACTCATTCATAATCTTCTTTCCCATTCGTTCCTTAGGTGCTGCGTTATTTGAAGATCGCTTTCGATCGTAAGCTGATCTTTTCGATTGGTCGTTCGGCCACCACCGGCAAAGAGGATGTTGTCATTTGGAACAATAGTGTGGATCATAAAACACAATTCTCAATGTATCCGGATCCAACTTACCTGCAACGCTGTCTAACGCAACTCGTGCATTTAGGAGTGACTGATTAAACTCCACAATGAACTGCCTTAAATTTTTCAATTCTTGCCAGTAAATTTCATCTCTTTCATTCGACTCGTTCGACGTATTTAAAAACATCCATAAATTAGTTATTTAAACGAAGAAAAATAAATCATGAAACAAAATATAGAATTGACAATAAGTGTCTTCCAAACCGCAAGTATTCAGTGCAAAAGAAAATCTCAATCCATGAACAAATATTTTTTATACATGTATAGAAAAGAAGCAAAGAAAAAGAAAGAGTTTTATATCGCGTGTATTGTTTTTATAGATTTTTTTTTATTATTATTATTTTGATCTGTATGTTTTTCATACAAAATATTTTGCTAAAAATATCTTTTTTTTCTCTGATATTAAATAACTACCAATTATCGAAATTGCAAATATTTCGATTGAGAGTTTATTTTACCAATAAAAAATCGTTTAAAATTAGTATTTAAGAGACAAACTACAAACGAAAAGAAGAAAAACATATATTCAATACGTGAGAAAGTAAAAACCGAATCCATCATAATAATAATGTAAAAAAAGAAATCTCTCTTTTTTTCGTGTATTCAAACAAACAAAAAAACGAAATAGAAAATCAATTAAAATAAAATTTTAATTCGTTTTTTACACAAAAAAAAAACCAAAATGTTGATCACTTTTTGTCTATCGTAGCGTTAGTCATGTGTTGTTATTATGTATGATATAAATATGTTATATGTGTCAATCATAGAAAAAAATTGCGTGCGTGCGCCCAAAAATCAACCCCACAGAGGCATACTAAAATGCATTGACTCCCTAAAAAAACAGTCTAATGTGCATACGAGCATCGGTCAAGTTACTGAAAAGTCGTTCGTTCTCTTCGATCACAATGTGTTTTTTTTTTCTTATAAAGAATCTCGTAGTGCACCATCTCTTATTCGAGAACGAAACTCAACAATTTCAAGCTAAAGAGTCTATTTGCTCAGATTAAATTCAGCAAACAAATCGTCAAACGCATCATCGACATTGCTCTCATCTAGTAAATTAACATTTGGTAACGTTTGACTTTTGGCCAACGGATTCGGCGATATTGACTTTTGTTTCTTTTGCAAGATTTTGAGATGATGTGCCGATTTTGTGGTCGTTGTACGACTGCTCATCATTTCAGACGGAGAGATCGTATTGGATTTTTGCTCCTCAACCGTTCGTATCGATGCCGATGACTGGACACTGTGCTGTGATGATGAACGTTGCAATCCTTGTGGTGATTTATTGCCGGAAAAATATGCGGCGACTGTTCGTTCCTTTTCCAACACTTCCGATCTCTTAATGGCACTTTCGTATTGCTTTGGCACTGTCAACAGGGTACCCGATTTTGATCGTTGTAAACCACCTTTAGCCGAATCTTTCTTTTCACAAACTTCTTCATCATCGTCGACTACAACCGATTTACGGTTAAGCATTGCGTTTAGTGTTTGAGCATAGTGAGCAACACGACGCTTCGTTTCCTTTGTTTGTCCCGGGTAAATGATGTGACCGTCTTCAACTAATGGCGACGATGGAGTTTCCGTAATTTCTGGTGGTTCAAGTTTTTGCGGTGTTTTTGATCGAACTGGCGCAGGTTGTGGTGGTGTCTTTGGACGAATGGGCAATTTTTTTGGCGGAGTTTTTGGTCGAACGGGTACAGTTTTCGGAGGTGTTTTTGGTCGTATTGGAGTACTTTGAGGAGGGCTCTTTGGCTGAATTGATGTGTCGACTTTTGAAAATGGCTGCAGTGGCGGTTGTTGTTGAGGCAACTTTGGTGCTTGTTGAATCGAATGCTGTGCCTGGAGAATTGGCTTTGGTGCTTGTTGAATCGGTTTGGGCGCTTGCTGGATCGGTTTTGGTACTTGTTGAATTGGTTTAGGTGCCTGCTGTACAAATTTTGGAGCTGGTTGCACAGGTATACTTTCTTCAACTCTGGGTGCCTTCTTAATAATTGACTTCGGTTTAATTTGCGGTTGTTTTGTTTCATTGAAAACTGGTCTTCTAATGTACGATGGCAATGGAGGTTCTTCCGTGTTACCTTTCGACTCGAATTGTTGTAACAGCGCCAATGTATGAGTTGATTTCGATTTTTTCAATGCACCAAATGGTAAGTATTGATTATGGGATGATTCATCAACATTTTGATGATTGTCAAACTCCAAGTAATCAAAGTAATCCGTGTTCTGTGCGGGAAGTGATTGCTTTCGTTTAATTTCATAGTTGGAAATATTGGGTTGATGTTGAATTGTGTGGCTTCTGTTCAAATTCGTGCCTTTTACTCCGTTATTCTGTATGCCATCAGCAGGCTTCCTTCCATAAGTTGGTTTGCTGAAATCTAAATTTGAATCGACTTTCGGTTGAATATATTGTCCTCCGCAGCTGTTCAATTTCACTGGTGCATCAATTTTCCTATTTTCCATCGGTCTCGGTTCGAATTTTCTGAGTGGAACTGTCTGCTTGGGCAGTTCATATGGCTTTGGTGCAAATTCATTTTGATTCGAAACTAACACATTGTGCGATCCATAATAAGATGTATTGTTCCGCAGGCAAATCGGTGCACCTTGTTCGGGCGTACTATATTGTGCGCTCGAGATATTTTCCATCGATACAAAGCTATTGTTCGGTTTGACGCGCACAGTTTCAACCGGTGGCACATATGTCTCATTCACATGACTAAAGTTTGGCTCCGACAATGGTGACATTGACTTTTCACTATATTCCGATTGGCGTTTCTCATTTCGATTATTCGTTAAGAATGTACGCAAATTGGCCGCTTGTTTCTCATCATCGTACCGCGTTGTGATTTTATTAACAACCGTTGCTGTTTGACCCTGTGGATATTTCATAATTTGTGATGTTGCCATAAATTCACCAGAGCTGCGTCGTGAATCGTGACTGGTGTGGCTGGGTGCATAATTGTAATCGTATGTGGGTGAAAATGGTTGAGGTGATCGATAATAGTTATTCGGTTCGGAGAGATATTCATTTGAACTGTACACATCGACAGTTTTCATTTGACGATTCAATTTCGAAGATCCAAGCAGTGGAGGTGGCATTGTTCGCGTCGGTGATTTCGATTTCAAGTAACTGTTGTCGGGTAAAATGGTAGCTTTAATCACTGGTGATGTGACTGTTTCGGGGCCAAATGTTGATACGCTCGTCGGTTGGGTGTAATCTGTGGAGGTGTATGTGTAAGTTGGGAAGTCATTTGGCGATGCAGAAACTTGTGATTTTGGTGTCATTTGATTCGAATGCGGCGGTGTGTATGGTGGATTCAATGGTGATTGGCTTGGCTGTTTGCCCAATGGCACATAGAGTGGGTTGTATGAAGTCTGCTGCATCTTTGGTGACACGGTATTTTGCATGTAACTGTCCACCGAACCGTATTTATTTTGTTGCCAATTGTTTTGCTTCACATGCACATTTGGATCACGATAAAGTGGATGATGATAGTTTTCGGTTGGATGTGATGGTACCGATTGGTGTGTTCGAAGTTGTGGTTTGGTAGTTGCCACCGGTTGGACCTGTTTTTCGAGAGCTTGAAATGCGGCCACTTTATTGTGCACACTATGACTGTTGTTATATTGATGATGATGATGAACTCCATTCGGAACCTGTGGCGGTTTGTTACCTTGAACGATCTTAAATGGTGAGGTTGGCGCATGCGTAAAGTTATTCTTTTTACTTAATCTTGGTGATACGGGCAATTGTGGGGCTTCATGTTCGAACGAATTTTTTAAATTGCCAAATTTATTGCTCCAGTTGGACTTTTGCACGGGCAACGTTGTTTTCAACGGATTCACCCATGATGAATGACTTTCGTCCGCATTCTTATTCAAAAATGCAATAAACTTCTTATCACCCGATGACTTGACTTTGAAATCGGGCAAGTGATTCTTATCCACTTCATTGTTACAATTCGATTTTATATTCTCACGAATATCATCCACTGTCTTTTCATGGTCGAAACTATTTTTGAAGCCATCCGAAAATCCATGATCGTCATTAAATGTGTCCAATTGTTCTTTCGGTACATCAATCGTATTGGCACGTTTCATTTTCATTTTGCGTAGTGCAAATTTGTTCATTGATTTATTTGCGGTGTTTGCAGTTCCATTTGATGGAGTTTGTTGAGCATTTTGTGAGTCCTCATCATCGGAGTCGGTCAATGCATCAACCGATGGATTCGATTTTCGGCGCAAAGCGGTTTTCGATTGACTTATTGTTTGTTCCGTTCGAGTCATAGTAGTCGTTGTTGCTGCTACTGTTGTTGCTGCTGCTGCTGGCAAGGCATTCGATTTATCAAGTCGATTCACTGGGAATACATGCTTCAAATTCACACTCTCCGGTGATGGTACAATATCGATTGATTTTGAAAACGATCTTGAATTTTTACTTTCACGAAAGATACTTCGAATATCTTTGTCCAAGTCATTTGAAAAGGTTAAGTTCAATGACTTGCGACGGCTGTCATCACTCTCGTCGTGCAGGAGTTGTTGCTCAACTTCGTGTGACACTTTGGTGGCAGTTGTTTGTGCAAGATTTTCCGACAAAAGTTTCTTCTGCAAGTACAATCGTGCGTCGGCCAATTCTTCTTTACTCACACCAACCGTGTTGAAACGATTGTTCTTTTGTCGCGAAAAGCGTTTCGAAGACGGTGATCGGTCGTTTTGCGGTGTCTCATCATTGCCATTATCATTGCCAATACCGTTATTCAATTGTGGCATTAGTTTCGAGAGCAATAATTCCGTTGGCAACAGTTCGGTCAGTGAAAACAGCTGCGCTTCGGCATTGTCGGTGGTTGACGTTTGCAAAACGCGTTTTAGCCAAGCGACGAGCGTTAGAATTGTGTTCCTTTTCCGCGTATCGGTTACGACTTCTTGCTCTTCCAACAGCGTACTTTGCAGTCGATTCAACGCTGTTGACAACTCATCCAGAATATTTGATCCATTTGCCGAGTCACCTTTAATCAAATGAAAAATGTCAATTTTTACACCGTTAAAATTTGTATGAAAAAATAAACTCGTCAAAAAAAAATCACTCACTTTTTTCGTTTTTATCGGCAAGCGAATTAGATCGGCTATTCTTGTTGCTTGTGGATGGTTCTTTCTCTCGCGACGGCGTATTCTCATGTTTCATTTTCGTTAGATCGTTTCCGTTCGCTGATAACAATCCTTGGAGTAGAGGCAACAGTATTGACTCTTCTTGGCTTGTCAATGCACGACCCAATCGCGGCTTATCGATCCCTTCCTGCTCTTTGGGCGCTTCCACTTCTTCAACTTTTTCGACCTTTTCCACTTTGGCGTGTTTTTCTATTTTTCCTACTTTCGTTACTTTCTCTTGCTTTTCCTGCTTCACTTGTTTCTCTTGCTTCACTTGTTTCTCTTGCTTCACTTGTTTCTCTTGACTGACCGTTGTTCGGGACACCTTCGATTTTTGAATCAACTTCTGTGTCGTTCCATCAGACTTCAGAACAAGCGTCTCCTGTGCCTTCTTTTCCTCCTTTGGCACGATTGTTTCGACTACGAATGGGTTATACCGAAATGAGATCATTAACAACAGGGATAATCTTTCGTTATTAATGCAAAAATAATTAATAATATCAACAAATGTTTTCAATGTAATTAATTCCCATGCAATTTGATATTCATTTAAAACTAATTGGTATTTAATTCTTGAATCAGTAGTAGTTAAAATTCACTACATTTTTAATTTATAACGAAAATTCAATTTGCGTGATTTATTTTTAAAATCTCTCAATTCATTCAAATGTTTTTCTTTCATGTCAAACACGACAGAGCACGTTTCCCATGCAAAACTGTGTGTAGTGCACTGACCTTCAGAAATCATCACCTTGCCTCCCGTTTCGTCGACATACTCTTCTTCATAATCCTCGTCGACTTCAACCTCGATCTCTTCGTACTCGTATTCGTACTCGCTATCACTCTTATTATCATCATCGACGGTTGGGTCGGCTGTGTCGACCACTGTGCAATTCGAATAAAGTACGATAATTGCGTTAATAAAGCGTTATTTGTCAAAAAAAAATGCATCCGAATGTTGTTTACCATTTTTGTCTGTGGCCGCTCCCTTCGTTTGTTGTTGCTTAGAGCTCATAGTACTAAAATCTGGCGATCGACCGAGAAAAAAGCATAAAAAAAAAAATTTAAAAATAAAGAAATCAGGAAACAAGTAAACAAAATACGATTCATAATAATTTCTGCCAAAAAAACAACAACGAAAAACGTTTGTTCAATTACCAACTAATTTGAAATCAAACGTTTCTCTTTTCTACTTCTTCATCGTCTTGGTATAAATAACATAAACTAATTAAACTAACTATTTATACGATTCAATCGTCAGGCTATTCTTATCGAAGTGCACGTACTAGCAACTACGTTCTGTGTGCCATATGATTTCGTTTGAAAATTTTGCCGAGTCAGCACGTTCGAGTTTATTCAGAGCTCGATCGTGATTTTCTCGCTCTCCTACGAACGAAAAAGACAACAACCAAAACGGATTTCATTGCCTGTTTATCTCTTTCACCAATAATAATAATTCAACGACCTTGAATGGGTTGTTCGAGTTCGTGATTCTTTCTCCGTTCTCGGAAACGGGCCGTCCTGTTCATCTCATTCGTCAATGCACAATGGTATTGTGCTTACAACAGCCAAAAATATTCGTTCACATTTCGAGAGAAAAAAATGGTGTTATTTTTAAATCCAAGCCGTTAAACGAGTGTGAAATCGGTGCGGAACACACAGAGGAAAAAAAATCGAGTCACCGATGCAGATGGTGGTATTGTATACGCTTCGGTTGGGGCAATTAATGGATCGAATGTGCTAGTCGTTGTTAATTGAATTGTTGTTCCAGCAAATGGAATCGATCATTTCTTACGGCAATCTATTTAGACTTATGTTCTAGTCGCTTGATTGCCGTTTCGTTTGATCCACTTGTGGCGCTTCAGATGTGATCTTTACTTTGCACATTCAAACACACACATACACACATGCGTTATGTGTGAGAGACAAGTGAGAAAAAGAGCGAATATTTTTATTCGCTTTGATGAAGGATCGAGTGGAAGTGTGTTGTCTCTATTATTGCGAAAAGTTTTTGTACGACTTCGTCCTTGTAACGATCTTAAAAATGGATGTTTTTTGACATCTTTATTTCTCACTTCGCAACTCTTCTCTTCATTTCACGATGAAATGTGAGATCGAAAAATGATCAAGCAACGCTACAGCTCACAGGAGATGAAGTCGTTACTAATTTTCATTTCTAATGAAACCGATAGGCGTTTGACTTGTGAATCATATTTTGGTCAATCGGACATTTATTAAGAAAATAACTAATTCAACCTTTAATTTATTATCTCCCTTGCTCGCTCTCAATCGATCTTTATCGCGATTTTTTCGTCTCACAATCGAACGAGCATCGAAGGAGCCGAGTATCCTGCACTAAAACTTTGACATCATAAATCGAGACGATGACCAATCCAAATGAAATCTATTACGCGATATTACACTGTCTCGCTCACACGCTTTGACGCTTTGAGGAAGGAAAATATAATATATATACTACTACTAGCCATTCTACTTTTGAATGATGATTATTTCGAATAAAGGCTATGCGTGGGCATTTTGCGTCGCCGCCGATTGCGATCTGAATATTTTTTCGATGATTTCAACTATTTTTACGTTCTTTTTTTTCTTCAAAACGATAGACAAAAATTCAATCGTTTTGGAAAATTTCCTCCCACTCTAGCGATTCAGCGTTCCGGATGCAATTTTTGTTACGACGTAATTCACTACAACGCACTCGAGATCAGCATCGATTGTATGCGCTGATGTGTTGCTTTTTTCGGGTTTATTGACTCATTTAAATGCATGAACTAATTAACCTTTTATTCTCCGTTCAGCTTCATTTCGCAATTTTATTTCAATTAATCGTTGCATTGTTCACATTCCGTTCGACCGTTATGTTCAGCTACCGTACTACATATATTTCAACTATGTGCTTTCATCTAATTCAATTAATACACAACGGTATTTTATTTTTTTGGCGAGAAAGAGAGCGACAGAGGAAAGAAAAAAAAAAGACGAAAAAAATGGGCAAAACTTACATAAAAATAAGCACTGGCTTTCACTTTCCTGAGAGGATGACTAATACAATTTCGGTCGTCGCTTGCTTCTAACTTGATATTTACTCGGTCGAAATGCTTAAACTGGCATTCACACCAATTATGGTTCGCACGAATATTTCCTCACTCAAATCAGGCAAACAAAGGAAAATTGAAATATTTTTTTTGCTCGATGTGTTATATATTTTTCTGGTTCATATGAAAGAAATAGCCACACACTGCCGTTCCTTTCAATCCTCACATGCACTTTTTTTCTTCTACTTCTTGATTTTTTTTCTTGCCTTCTTCTCTCTTTTTAAGAACTGAGCACTCAACACACACTCGCTCCTTCACTCACTTCTTTTGCTCTCAACGATTCGCAGAATAATGACAAACTGTGTGCAATTTATCAAAAAGAATTTATGCAGCGGAAAAAATATTTCTGATTTTTCTTTCTTCTTTTTTTTCGCAATATATGTGCAGCAGCAGCAGCAACGATGAAATTTAAAAAAAATGAACTATTATATTTTATATGTGATGCAGTGGCTGAATATCCGCGCGCACGGGATGACTTAAAAATATATTTTCTCCATTTACAGTTCACACGAGACACGAGCACGCATTTTCCTATTGCGTTCTCAACTGCGTTCTAATGACTGCTCTCTCTCGGACGATACTTCGCGTAACCGACTCTGAATTTTCTGATTTTGGATCGGAGTGTGTGAGCAAATGAATAGGTTAAGCGCGCGCACATCGACTCTTCTCGGTGTGTTTTTTTCCTCTTTTCTCGTTTTCTCTCTTCTCTCTGGGCTCTATCTATCTATATGTGTTTTTCGTTTGACTTGTTAATTTTAAATCTGCGCTCCTGAACGAACGACCGTCTTTTCAGCGCTTTATATTTCAACTGTTTACTTTTTTTCTTCAAAATTTCTCTGTGCAGTCCGATCCTCAATTCGTAGCGGAGCTTAGTTGCTTGTTCTCTCTCTCTTTCTCTTTCGCATTTACACCGCTGCTGGCATATGGTTCGGACTTTTCGTTCCTTTTTTCGATTTCGGTAATATATTCACACCGCAAAACATTTATTTATAACTTCGACAAATCCCCACTACCGATCTATCACAACTGATTAGTTCGTAAGTGTGAACATGTACGAGCATCGATCAATTTTCCCGTTCTTACACCTTGCACACGTTTCGATCGCATATGGCTGCGACTTGCCTCAATCAATATAGCATCTCGATTGCGACGGCATGCCGATAGCGAACGTTGAACACTTGAAGTACCGTTACGAATTTTTGTGTTATCCAGTCCTATATATTCTGGCCCATTCTCTAGAGAGCAATAACTTACAAGTGATATTAAAATCGGCCATAAATAAATCCGCACTTACGCATAAAATTTGCCTAATTTTAAATGTGGAATTTTGTTGGGAGCGATTCACCTTTTCCGGATTATCTTGCGGTTTCGACAGCGAAGTATGGCCCATTTATTCTATTTTCAGTTGCAGCCAAGAACTAGCATCCTACATTCTCGACATTCACGGGATCATGAATGGGTCAATTTCAAAATCGTCGTTTCATTCATTCTCAGTCTGCGATCGATATTCAGGTGTTGCCTCAATTCAATTTCGTTGAATAGCGACGCGCGCGATCGGTACGAGTAACGGTTGAACGAAATCCTTGACGATCAATATCTCAATTCGATCCTAAAATAGTCATATTCAATAATATGATGGTTGTTTCAGGTTTTGCTTTGCAAATACGCCCTACTACAATGTTTATTTTAGTATCGGTGTTTATTAAAAGTGTTTAACGTTATTATCAAATCATCATTCTAAATATAAATATCGACGTTCACCGTCGTCATATGTGAAATGCCTGTGGCCGTTTTGGTTGCGATGTTTCACTTCAAAAGAGTCTGTGGTATTCAATCTTGAAACAGATACACACAAGCTCGCTCGCTCACCGAAAAACAAAACTGTCGAAATCTACGAGACCAAGTCTCTCTCGTTCAGCCAATGCGTCGCTATTGTTTATCGCATCACATGTGAGGGAATTTGTGATATGCGAAATAAGTTATAGCGCGCTTGCGCATTCATTGCAGATATGTGCCAAATGATCAATGCCTTCTGCATTCCAAATACGTGTGTTTGTATACGTGAACCACGCGATAATAAGTCATCACCCGACGACTACGACAAAGACGACGACGAAGACCAATTCTTACTCGATTCTCGCTCTGCGCGGCCCATACTCAAAATGATAAACAGTAAAACTCGTGCCCGACATTTTTGTTTACATTTTAAGTCACTTGTAGTTTTGTTTTTATTTCGATTTTCTTAATATGTACTATGCTCTAGCATTAGAAATTTAGAATGAACGCAGAAAAAAAATGATCGCTCTACATACGTGTATAGTAACAATGAAGCCATGTCAAAAGTGACGTACGTAACAAATTTTCCTTTTCTTTTCAACTAAACAAAACAAAATTGCGATTTCCGATAATAATGAACTTTTTGCCAAAATGTGAATATTCACCGACCATGAGTGAATTGAACGATCAACATTACAATGAAAATATATCTGAGAATACAATGAAGAATGGCCTTAATAGAAGTCTTCCTCGATGTTTCGATTGCTGGCTTTGTCCTGGTTCTTGATCTGATCCTGGTTGGAATACATGTCGGCGACTTGTTGAGCGGAGGTCGCATCTTCAGCTGACTTGTCGTCACGGATACGAATGAATCGAGGGAAACGCAACGAGATTCCTTTCTCTTGATCTATCTGTTTAAAAGTCGAAAGGAAAAAATTAGTTTTTTTTGTTGAAAAATTCAATTTGTCTAAAGAAATTCAATAAAAAAGACTAAAAAAAGAAAACAATTCCAACTTACAATGCCTTTGCCAGCTTGATGCACTGGACTGAGCGAGAGATCGGCGCACAGAACTTCCCACACTTGAACTGGATCAAACCAATCATCGGGTTCGAGTGATGATTCGTAGCGATAGTACGATTTTGCCGACGGAATGACGTGTTGTTTGAGGGACTCGGTGTGTGTCTGGAGATCTTCGTCACTGAAACCGGTACCAAGTTTGCAAATCGTTTGGTATTCTTCATTTTCGGCATCATAACACGCAAGCAAGAATCCGCCATAGGTGCCAGTTCGCTTGCCCTTGCCTTTGTATCCACCGATCACAACCAAATCCAATGAATCACCAGCTCCTTCCAAATAATCCTTCTTCAATTTGAGCCAATTTCGTGAACGCTTGGCAATTTCGTATGTTGCATCTTTGTCTAGAGTTTTGACCATTAAACCTTCGCAGTTTCCTTTGACCGATTCGTTCAGGAATGATTGCAACTCGTCAATGTCACTGGTATCGAGCGATGTGGCAAATTTCCATTCGCTTTCCACTTCTTGGAAATTTTCAATCAATAGACGACGACGTTCCGAAAACGGTTTGGTTACCAACGGTTCACCGTTGAAATACAACAAATCAAACAAGTAAACACACACTTTCACTTTGATCTCTTCTTTATCGGCATCCTTGCGCTTGCGCGTGCTCAGCACTTGGAACGGCAGAATTTGCTGACGTTCTTCATCCCAAGCGACGACTTCTGAGTCCAAAATGCACGATGTGACGCCATCACGTTTAAGTTTTTCGATTCGTGAAATGATATCTGGATATTTTGTTGTGTTGTTTTCCTGATTGCGACTATAAATGCTTACGGTGCCGTTCTCAGCTATGTGAATCTGTTTCGATTGAAGAAAAATTTTGAATTTGGGCTGAGATGTGTGAATTTTGGAAAAGAATCGTTGACGATTTTTAGGAATATGAAATTGATAGAGTTCAATGGAGTTTATTGCGATATAAACGGGAAAATGAAATAATTGCGTATAAAACATGAAATATTGTACATACCTGAGCACGTTCACCATCATACTTATATTCGCATGTAAATTTGATGCCTTCGAATCGTTGCAGAACTTCGGAAACTCCTTTCGTTGGATGTGCCAACATAGGTTTTAGAGGTGTGCCAGGTGCCATTTGACATTTGTCCAACAATTCATTAACGCCGTATTTCAAGAGGACTTCGCAAATACGATCATAATTCGGGCATTGGCTAGAGAAAGAAATACGTCAATTCGATTGGCATGAATTGTTGTCGGTCAGAAATACACATATCAAAAGAGATGTTTTGAATAATTTGTATTTAAAAGTTGTGATGTCGACAAAAACATGTGATTCATTCATCAAAACAGACACACACACACACACACAACCTAAATCAAATGAAATTACATACCAGTAAGTTGTTTTGATGATCAAAGCAACTTCTTCAATTTGTTCCTTTGTTATTTTTGCGTTGATAACTTTTGGTGGAAATGATTCACCGTTTGCATACTGATTGGGCGGTGTATATGCACATGCCTGAGCCAGTGCTTGTAACAGTGACTGTTCGGCCAAACCGATACGAAGTTTACCCAATAGCGATCGCATGATGAACCGTGCCTCTGAGTGGCGACATGCTACGAAAATCGACTGAATCTTATCAACTTTTTTGTTCATTGCCTGCAGAAGAATGTAAAACAATAGCCTCATTATTCACTTACTTTGATGACGAATTCTTTTTTTCATACAATTCTTTATCATTCAAAATAGAACAAAATCGTTCAAAAATCAAACCTTCAACTACGAATATTTGTTTTCATAAACTTACCGATTGTCCACTCATGTTGGCGATATCTTTTAGCTTGGTGAATACACTATCAACGGTCAATGGAGCCGGTGTGAACATCATTCGTTGATTGCTCTTTGATTTTTCCGCAACGATGCCCAAATCGCCGGTGCTTTGAGCATCTGCCTTTACCTGTGCCATACTTCGGCCGGTTGTTTGTGCAATGACCTTCATTAGTGACGTTTCAGCGATGCCCAACTCCAAGCCAACGTAGTCTGGTGCCAATTTATTGAGCGACAAATAGACACAAGCAATCAAATCGGATGGACTGTTCACAATGACCGATCGAAAGAAATTCGCCAGAATTTCTATCATACGCAATCGGCTGCTGTTTTCTTCAATCACTTCGAATGTACGAGCCAATGCCAGATATGGGGTTCTATTGGAATTGATTCAATTTTTAGGTTAGAAAATCATCCATATCTAAAATAAAATACAAATCTCATGAAAATGTACATACTTTTCGCCATGCTTCCAGAAGCAATCCTTAATCGGATGGTAATTTGCTTTGCCCGGGTTGTACGATGCTCCATCGGATGTGTCGTCGGCCGTTTGCAGTTTGATGTCTTTCGGTTTGCTGAAAAATGGATGTGGCTTTGGTTTTTCATCCTTGACTTTGGTTGGGCTTGGGCTTGAGGTCGTGTCCATTTTTTCGTCAGTTTTCTCTTCTTCAACTTTAGCCGGCGATTGAGCTTCAGCTTTGACCTTAACGGGTGATTTTGCCGGTGGCGATGCCTTCTTAGCTGTCACTTTTTCATTTGTTTTGGGCGTCTTAGTTTTTGCTGGCGTTTTCTTCTTGGCTGGAGTTTTGGTTGCAGCTTTGGCTGGTGTTTTCTTTGGTGTTTCAGTCTTTTTTGCTACTTCGTTTTCATTTTCCTTGCCTGGTAATGGTAGCTCTTGCTTTACGACCGTACTTGTAGACTTTCGCTTTGTCGGCGGCGATCTTTTGAAAATCAATTTTATTTATGAACATCGTGTTGAAAATATTTAAAAAAAAAATTCAATCAATTTCACTCACTTTTCTTCATCAACTGTTTTGCTCGGGCTCGTTCTCTCATTATCATCACTGGAACTGCTGCTTGAGATGATGCGACGACGTTTTGTTGGCGCCTTACCTTTCGACACATTGTGATTGTCATCGGGGCTGCTGCTTGCACTAAATAATACACTGGTTAAACTTTTACTCTTTGAATTGGATTTGCATCGTTGCAAATTGAGAAGAAAATTGTGTGGTTTTAAACATTGTTGACTAGATAACAATTGACGCGATAAAACCAAATTACGATTACAAAACGATAACACTCGAATTACATTTGATGCATACATTGTTGAAATATGTACATTAAAACAGAATTTATACAACTGATTGCAACCACGTTGCGAATAGCACACGTTTTTTCATGTTCATCATGGATTTGTCACATGAGAATGAACGGTAGTTTTTTTTTATATCGTTCGATGCAATTACAACAACATTGTGAAATACCTTTTTGGTTCGGCGGCGACACTTTGGTCCTTTGTGACAGCTGGCTTTCCGAAGAACGATCTGAAACAACAAAAAAACACACAAACAAAAAAGTCGTTGTTAGACTAACCACTGAACCATTATTTTTCACCAAAAATACGTACAAAATTGATCGCTGCGACATTTTTTTTTATATCTTTGTCAGAATTGCATAAAAAAATTCGTTTTCGTTTACTGAGAGTTTTTTTTCTTCGGTTATCGATGACAAACAGTTGCCGCAAAGTTTTTTGTTTTTCTTTTTCAAATATTGTTCAAGCAGCTTTGACAGTAGTAATGCAAGATTTTAGCGCCAAAGTCTTACTGCGTTAAAAAGCATATTCAGAATGGAGACGAGCCTATTCACAAATGACTATTCTTCATGCGATAAACGTTTCGTTGGCGACTCCATCGATACGATGCACTACTTTTGAATTCTCACGGAGTTGAAAACAAATTATTCATTCACTTTTACTTTGATTCAAGCGGTAGATTTGAGAAATTCATAAACAGGCCTCCAATTTGCTTGGTAAAATAGATTTTATCGACTTTTTTTATGAGCTCGCTGCTTTGCAAACATTTATGTAGAATCATTTTGAGTGAAATTTTAAGAAAGAAGATTGATATATTACAGTAATATTAATCTTTGGCGCCTTGGTATTGGACCATACGGTTGTTTTTGTATTGCAAAACCATATGAAATACGTTCCGTGAAAGTTGCCTCTTCATTGGCATATGTCAAGAATCAAACGGATTTTTAATTTCAATTTCCGATACTAATCAAGCGATAAAATGAAAGAGGTGGCTCCAGACACTTCACTTACTGATCCTGACGTCATCACTTTTGTTTATTTTTAAATCGACAAGAACAATGCTTTGTTATTGGAATATTGTTTATCTCATTGTCTATATTGCTGTGAAAATTACTATTTTTACCATTGCTAGAAAAATTGAAGAGATTTTTGTATTTGACAGAAGTAATCAATGAAATTAGAAAGTGATTGCGATATTCAAATAGACTTTAAAGATTGACATACAAATCAGCCCCTCTTGAGGTATAAAAGAATTCTAAAAACGTATGTATATCAATAGCGTGTGCCGTTACTAAGTATCTTTTATCGATTTTGTTCAATTCTAAACTTTGAATTAAAAACCAAGCAATCGAAATAAATTACTTGCATAATCTACAAGTAATAATCACTTGAGGCTCATTCAAAAAAGAAAAATCAATCAATTTAGCGTTATCACTAACGTGTGCTTCTTCTGGTGAAAATGAAAATGTGATTCAATGATAAGATCAAATAAAATAGGAGTTGGACATTTTGAAGTACTCAGATTTGACGTATATTTTTGTATCTCATCATGATGAATCCATTAGTGCACAGTGAATGTCAAACAGATTGACAGGATTTCCCTTAACAATATTGATTTTGGAGTATATTATTCTGGGGTAATTCTCTCCGCATTTATTTCCAAACTCATTGACTTCTAAACCAAACCACAAAAATTGACAAAATTTCTTTTTTTTATCTTTTTTTCAGATCAATCCTAGACTGGGTTTGACAATGAAAAACTGAATACATTGGTGTGCTAGATGGTTTTTAATTAGTCGAAAGAATTTCGTACGAGCTAATCGAAGAACTGAACTGAGCGTCTGTAATTGATGTGTGTTTAAAATGTAAATGTTTCAAACATGCCTAACGATAAGCTCGACACAAATTCTATAGCGACAAGAATTGGCAAGAGTCCCATTGGAAAAAAATTGCAATGTAATTGATCATCATTAGAAGAACTAATCATGGAAAGTTATTGAAAAATAATTGTTTTACATTTCATGTTGTGCTAAAAAGTCAAAACATATTTTTAAAATGTAAATTTTCTCCAACCGTCACGGTTCATAAATAAAATTTTGAGTCATTTCTGAGATGTAAACACAAAAACAGCTGCTAATTCCACTCATCATTTTGACTTTTCCTCATCGTCTGTGTTTTGCCATGGCAATCGCATTATACGATGACATTCTAGGGGCTAACCACGGATTTTTTATTGACAAAAAAATTACTGCAAAAATCGGGCAAAATCGACCAAAATGTGATCATATCGGAATTTATTTGTTTAAATGATAAAAAATGTTAAAGTCGGTCATTATTGGTTATTTTTAAAACCGTGGTTAGCCCCTAGATGACATCTGGCAGAATTCTGAGCAGTTAGCAACGATGCGGTAAACTTTGTACACAAAGAATAATGACACAAGGATATGTTTTTCATTTGAGTGAAAACATGATGGTAATGTCAGTTCAACTTTGGAATAAATGGTAGTGTAAACGAATGTGGTTTTCCTTCTAAACAACTTTGCATAAAAAATGGGAAAAGAACTAAGAAAGTGGATTAATAAACACCGAAACGTTTTATTTTCATTACAATATATAACATTTAATGGGTTATTAGCTGGGTTACTAATATTACTTCGCATCAGTGTTAAAGAAGCACTAACGATTTCAGCTGCGTTCCGTTCGAATCTATTTACAAGTAATATTCAATTATATTTCAAAAAATCGAATATCTTTATTAGTTTAATATATCCTTTTAAATATTCATTTTCAGTGTATCTTTAATTATTCAAAATAAACGATTTTCGTAACAAATGTAAGGCGTATATCGGTTTATTTCTACTATGCGAATCAACTCTCAGTATAAACATGTTGATTATCTTGACGTATATGCCAACTTTTCAAAAGGATGTCTTCTCCTTCATAGCCAACAAACTATTAATATTTTCACTCGTTTCGTACATGGGAATGAACATTTTCAATCATTTGCTATTGATTTACTGGGAGGTGAGAGTAAATTTAATCATTCGAGAAAAAATAACCAAAAATGAAATGAATTGGTTTCATGTTCAAATGTTGACAAAATTTTCAGAAGAAAAATCTTTATGGACAACCGCCGCAATGAGAGCAACAATGCGCGTATTACATCCTATAATAATATTTGCACTCTCACAATTCGAAGTAGGCAAACCGTCAGAAGTAGTACGGCAAAATAACAAATTGCCGAAGTAATTTTTTCATTGGAGGTAAAATGTTGAATTACCACCAATGCTTTTATTCAGTAGGTAAATTTGAATTCAGTGGAAAAAAGCCGCTAACAGGGCATTTGAAGAGTGATAAAACACACCAAACACGTATAATTAGTGAGAAATAAATCTTTTTGATTGTTTTTATTGAATTTTCATCAAATGTGTTGCAGCAGTGAACAGTGAATTGAATCTAAATTCCAAATGGCACAAAACATTGAATTCTTAACAACAATCATCTCGAATCATCTTTGCAACACGAAAAAAAGGCTTTTTGAATTTGTTGTTTAGCCTTCTTCGGCTATTACACGATACGATTTGCAACGATGTCTGATTTTGTTTTCATTTTTTGACAATCGGTTGTCATTGTTTCATGCACAATCGTGTTTCCGCACACCAAAGTGATCACACACAATGAACGCAACCAAACGAAGTGTGTGCAAGGAATTGCCACATTCAAAGGGTACAACAGCGCCATTTGAAATTAATCACAGACAGCTAAATTGGTAGTGAATGCGCTTGGCAAATGAGTGGGCAAAGGTTCGAATTCCATGATGGAAATATTTTTTTATTCTTAATGTGTTCATTTTTTTTTGATGGCGAGAATGCGAGAATGTGATTTATTTCAACTGGCGCTGTTGTTATTTTGCCGTACTACTTCTGACGGTTTGCCTACTTCGAATTGTGAGAGCAACGTCCCAAGAGAAACTGCCAATATGTTTATACGCTGTCTATCCGCCGAAAATACACTACAATATATATTCACGCTTATTGGACGCCGAATTCAATATATATTCTAGTGTATATTCGGTGTATTCTTCAGCGTGAAACATATTGAAACATATTCAGGTGCCCTCTATTGGCCATGAATGCATTCATTGATTCAATATGTTTCACGCTGAAGAATACACCGAATATACACTAGAATATATATTGAATTCGGCGTCCAATAAGCGTGAATATATATTGTAGTGTCTTTTTGGCGGATAGACAGCGTATAAACATATTGGCCGTTTCTCTTGGGGTACATATTTAGTTTATCCACCCCACACGGAATATTTGATGCGTTAACATTACTCTTCCCTTTTCAAATACGTATGTGACGCGAATATGCGCGAATAGATATTTTCATGAACTAATTTATTGATATGAATATACCATTCATGATTTTTCATCAGATGAAAACCTCAATGATTTTTCAAGTATGGGAAAGGAACCAAAATCAAATCCTTTGTACATAAGCATTGGCCAAATTCCTGCCAAATCAATATCTACTGCTTTATCGTATGGACCATATCAATGCTGTGTCGAATCCCACTATGTTTTGAAGAAGAAGATGACGACATATAGTATTATAAGTATAGTTTTATAAGTATTGTTTTGACCTTGAAATATTTACTGCTATGCAGAAATTCATTTGGGTCACCACTGGTATTATATTTTAATGTTTTTCCTTTCCATTTTCATCTGAATTTAACAAAATCACGGTTAATTGTAATTTTGTATATTTTCAAATAGCTCAAGACTATTTTCTAAAATATCACATGGATTATACAGACGAACTTCCAAAAATTATTAGAAATTATATTGAGGAACCCAACAATGAAGCTGACGAAGAAAACGAATCACAAGAGGAAGCCAACATTGAATCAGACAATGAAGATCTGGAAATCTCTTCAATCCTAGTTTTGGACTGTACTGAACCAATTAAAACTCGATATTGACATTTCAGTGGATTAGATTGAAAAAAAAAGTATTTAAATCCATGTATATAGTAGCAACAAAAGAAAAGTGAATGAAAAATAAAGCCAAAAATATTTCAAAAATGTAATTTTTTTCAACTGTCACGGTTCATAAATAAAATTTTGAGTCATTTCTGAGATGTAAACACAAAAACAGCTGCTAATTCCACTCATCGTGTTTTGCCATGAAGATCGCATCATACGATGACATCTGGTAGAATTCTGAGCAGTTCACATCGATGCGGTAAACTTTGTACACAAAGGATAACAACACAAGGATATGGTTTTCATTTGAGTCTGTCAAAGCATAGTGCGAATGTCAGTTCGATTTTAGATTGAGTTGTATCGTAAACAAATGTCGTGTTTCTTTTAAGATGACTTGTACCGAAAAGATGGGAAAAGTCTTACTAAAGTGGATTATTAAAAATCTAAACATTATACTTCCATCAATTTATACAATGTATTTTGGCGGATTAATTGTGCTGTTCGCTGAAGTTGAACTAATGACTGCATCTGTCTTCTTTTCGCACATATTTACACGTAATACTCACTCAATCATACTCCAAGTAAATGAAACACATTTTTTAGTTTAAAATTTTTTTTTCTTCAAAATTCATTTTCAGTGTATCTTCTAGTGTTCAAAATAGACGATTTTCGTAACAAATATAAGGCGTATATCGGTTTATTTCTACTATGCGAATCAACTCTCAGTATAAACATGTTGATTATAGTAAAGAATTTGCCAATTTTCGAAGAGGATCTTCTCTCTTTCATAGCTAACAGTCTCTTAATATTTTCACTCGTTTCGTACATGGGAATGAACATTTTCAATCATTTGCTATTGATTTACTGGGAAATTTATGAGGTAAGCGCAATTCGAGAAGAGAAACAACCGAAAATGGTTCAAAAACGTAAGTTAGTTTTGTTTTCATTAAAAATGTTAATAACATTTTCAGATTGAAGAAAAATCTCTATGGACAACAGCTGTGATGAGAGCAGCGATGCGCGTATTATTTCCCATAACAATATCCGCAGTGAACATATTTAGTATATCCATTCCAGTCAGATTTTTTAACATGGTCCCAGTACTCTTCCTTCTTCCAATTAGTATGTGATGCGAATAGATATTTTTATTCATTAATTTATTCATTTAAATATATTTATCATATTAATATTTCATTAGATGTAATCCTTGATCGTTTTTTAAGTATGGGGAAGGAAACATTGATAAAAAGCAAAATCATCTCCGTTGTCCAAAAGCATTGGCCAAATCCCTTTCGAATCACTGTATTCTGCTCAATCTTAGCGTCGGTACTAATATGGTGTCGAAGAGGATCTCCTGGGAATGATAAGTTTTGTTTCGACTCCAAAATATTTATTAGTCTGGGAATCTTCTTTGTGGTGTCTATTGGTATTATATTTTAATGTTTTTCTTATTAATTGTGAATTTTATAAACTTTATGGTTAATTGTACTTTTTCAAATATTTCAAATAGCTCAAGATTACTTCCTAAAATTTCACATGGATTATTCGGACGATTTTCCAATGTTCATTAAAAATTATATTGAGGAAAGCGACGATGAAGATGAAGAAGAAATCGATGATGAAGTAAATAACATTGATTCAGACGATGAAGATCTGGAATTCCCTTCAATCCTAGTTTTGGACTATGCTGAACCAATTAAAACTCGATAATAATATTTCTGAGCTTGTTTGTTTACAATTAACCATGAAAAAGAAACCAAAATACTATGAAGAACCGTATACATAAAAATAATGAAGGAATAAAATGCACAAAAGTTCTAATCCACGTTTCATTTCAATAAAATCATATTTTGTGAAGCAAAATTCTGGAATATCGTCGACATTATTGCGTTTCATTTGCAATGCAGGATTTCTCTCCTCGTTGATTTTCAAACTAAATCCAAATGCATTTTTTTCCAAACTAAACCCTTTTTCTAACTAAATTTCTATTTCTAATCTTTCATTCAAATCAATCATAGACTGGGTTCGAAAATGAGAAACTCAAACTTATTGCCGCACTAAATGGTTTTTAATTAGCCGAAAGAATTTCGTACGAACAAATCGAAGAAGTTGAACTAGGCGTATGTAATGAATGTGTGCCTAAAATGTGAATGCCTCAAACATGCCTAACGATAAGCTCAACACAAATTCCATAGCGACAAAAGGCAATGGCAAGAATCTCACTGAAAAAATTGCAATGTAATTGATCATCATTAGAAGAACTAATAACGATATTCATGAAAAATTAATGAAAAAAAAGAAGAGCGAGTAAAAACCGACGAAAATAATATAGCGCCAAAAGTACGAAATATGGAAAGTACTTCTGATCGCGCGCAGTCAAATCACTTTCTCAAGAGAGTTATGATTCTCTCTAGCGATAAAATTGGCTTTCATTCTTTTTTGTTCGTTTAAATCTTTCCACTGCTTTGAATATGTTTCATTTTTTTCGGATTTCTTCTTCTGTTGCCGTTGCCATTGCTATTGAATTGAACTTTGTATGGCTGTGGCGTGGCGTTGTATTTAGTATGGCTGTCGGGTATGTGTGTTCAGTAGATGGAAAATGATTTCTGCCAAAAACGAGATGATGTGTTATTTCGATGGTTTCGGTATTTTTTTTTTCGTCATGCATTAGCATAAAAGTTCATGTGAATTCGTTAAGAAAGAAAACCGAATACATACACAGTGGAAATGGCTTGTTGAATTTAGATAGTTGCGGGTTCATTACAATGTATACCGTTTGTGTCTTTTTATTTCGTATTTTCTTTTTGCTGTTGTTGCTTCTCTTGTGTGTATGTGCTCGACCGAGATGAAAATCGTCGGAACGAAAAGAAGAAGAAGAAGAAGAAGAAGAGAATTTAAAAAAGGTAAATGCGAAATGCAAAGTATTACGCCAAATGCTTTTATCCATACGAAATGTGATCCACTCAGCCTACAAATACGGGCAACACAAAGATAACAATAAAAGCAACAACAATATCGTCAGCCGGAAAAAAAAGTGGAAGCGTATGATTGTGAGGTGAGTGTGTGTCTGTGTATGTGTTGGTCTGTGTGGAGTGCGTGTGCGAAGAAGAAGTTTTGATTTTCCCTTTCTAAAACGGCAAAGCAAAACGACAATTTAAACAAAGAATCATAATTTGGTGAAACAATCACTGACGACAAAAAAAAAGAGAAAAGAAATTGAAATTTCGGTTTGGCATAGAAGCCAAAGCTACATGAAAAACTGGTATATTCGAATAAATTGCACACACAAATGGGTTGCTCGTCACAAACGAGCGCAAGCGCACGCGGGCCACATCGATTTGAAATGTGCCATGCCGCACAAGCGTCTTATCTGGAATTTAAATATAATCCGAAATTTTAATTTGATGTTTTGTTTCACATCCGAAATTAATTCATTCGATCGAAGAGATTATTTTCTCTTGAAATAAAATGCGGAACAAATAGAAAAAAAACGCCAAAATTCATGATGATTTTTATGCTTCAAATGGGAATCAGTTTTATCGTTTTTAGCGAGAGAGAAAAAAAACAACGACGCAGTTCTTCTATTGCGTGAGCGAAACCAAGAAAAAAATTATCATTTCCAAAACCAAAATTGTCACACAAAATACATCCGACAACTGGTAATGTTCGTGTAGTGTCGCATTGAACATGGCCGACAATTCTCTTCGCTTTCGGTGAATTATTCTGACCGTGCACGGATTGATCGTGTGTGTGTGTATATGGGTTTTTTCGCTCTCTTCTTTCTTTATTTGCGTATGGTTAAATAATAACTCTTAGCCGTGCAAAAATAGAAAGTGATAGCGTTGATCGTGATCGACCTATATTCCGTGGCTGAAGGTAGAAAGAAACAAGATTTCAGAAAAAGAAAACTCTTTTTCGATTTTTCGTTTGGTATGGATTTTGAATGGAATTAGCCGAGCGAGTAACACAACTATTTGTGCACAATTTCTGAGTGAGCGAAGAAATAAAGAAGAGAAACGGGCCCGATTCTCTATTGAATAATAGCCAAACCAATTGTATACTACAATTCCACACACAGTTATTCTCAGCGCATAAAACTCGATTTCTTGAGAATTTTCAACTGGAAACGCTAATTCTTCATCTTTGTTTTTTCTCTTCGCTTCTTGCAACAGAAAAAAGCTCTTGCGCGGTTGCGCGCCATGTATCTGCCTGTGTTTTGTCCAATCGCTGTTCGACATCAGCACAATGCCAACCGAAATAACAAAAAAAACAAAGAGAAAAATAGCAAGCGACACAGAGAGAAGACGGAGCTGATCTTTTTGCCGAGTCGATTTAGCCAATTTACATGCAAACCCGAGAGAGAAGAAAAGGAGAAGAAGGAAATAAAAAAGAAAGTTAATTCTAATAACGGTGAATAACGAATTTTTTTTTTTATATAAGTTACTTTACAGAGTGTACTTTACATGCCGTGTATATTTCTAGCCACACTCACTCTTTCGCGTGCGCTCGCGCGCACAAACACACACACACACACATCAACCCATACGGTTAGAAGCATTTTTACAACTGCTTCTCTTTTTTTTTCGGCCGCCTCTTCTTTCTCGCATTTTGTTGTTTGTCATTTGATTCTATTTAATAATTTCGTTTGTCTCTCATTTGACTGTGTTTTATTTGCCGAGCCTTTTATATTCATAGGCAAATCTCGACATGAATATGCAGTGGATTTATTTGAAAGAAAAAAAAACAAGACATTTTCGAAAGTGATATTTATTTTGTTTTCATTTGTCTAGTCTTAATCGGTCGTTTATTTGAATCATAGCATAAAACGACACAAGGATTTCACAATCTAGAAATGGAAATTTCGCTCACTCACACTCTCTTCATTTCGAGTCGAAGGCGATCACGAAATCACAATTCTAACCGTTGAACTACGAATATTGGCAATGAGTGGCAAAAGGGCTAAGTCCAGTTTGGTTAAATGGGTTTTTCGCAATTGCACATACACACAGAGAGGGGGAGATAGAGAAAGGGAAAAAAAGATGAGAGAAATTAGCAAAAGGCTGTTAATGTGTTGATAGTTAGATTGATTCTGTTTGAAGACATTCCACATAAGCCATTTTCGGTGTCTCCAAATCCGTTTCACATTTTTTTTTGTCGGCTTAATCACCGACCTATCATCGGTCAGGTAATAGAAATTGCTCGTCCAACATTCATACTTGAAAAACTCGTAATTATTGTCAATTTCTACTCAACAAAAACAAACCAATGTCACTTATGACATGTATGGGGGCTCTCACAGAACTAGACTAAGCACTTAGGCATATTGTGAAAATATGCAAGATCTGTGCAATATTCGACGATGGCAGAAAAGAAACGAATCAATTAGACAACAATGTGTTAATGTGTATGCGTGTCCAATTGAATGAAATGTACCATTCCGTCATCATTAGTCAACGAGCACCATTAACATTTTTTCCGTCAATTTTAACCTAATTCTTTCTCGGTGTCCAGGATGAGCGCCGATCAGCTGAGAGTTAATTACGATTGGCAGTACGGAAAGATGATGACCCGATTTGACGGAAATCTCTCGAAACTAAAAATATCTTTGTTTTTTTTTTCCAAAATAATCACTTACTGATAGAAAAACGTACACCAACATCATCGTACATTGAAATTTTATTTAATTCCTATTATTAATTAGCATGAGTGAAATGACTGTATTCGGTTGAGAATAACCGACGATTACAGGAACTATTTTTTCCGAGTGCTTTTGTAAACACAAGATAAGAAGGGCTGATAGTTGGGTATTCGAAAGAAAAGATGTAAATTAAAATCATATTAGAATATTGTTGCATTGATGCGGTGGCTAGACGGTGCTGGGAGTGCGTGCATACCGATTAAGGTGATTTGTCGCAAGAGTAATGCGTGCACCATCAAACGCTAACAATTAAGAAAATTTTGAAAAATCGATGCGTTTGATTAGTCACGAGTGGTTGACGTGCGCGTCGATCAGCCCAGAGAAAGGTAAGAGTGTGACTCGTATGTATTGAACGCGTGTGAACGAGCGAGCGCATTGCGACAATCACAAGTTGTGATTCACAACAAACGGCCGTTGCAAAGTTTCAAACTACATTCAAGGTGTTTGTTATTGATTAACTGTTCTACACACATCGCGTAACGTTCCCACACTCACTACACATTCGAATCGCCCGAACCGCGCATCGCATCCATTTCCGTCGCTTTTTCCCTTCTTCGTTGTCTCGCGTGGATGGGGTTGAAGCTTACGCGATCACAAAGCATATGTTTGTGTGCAGAACTTAAACAAAGACAATGCGACAGGCACGGAGAAGAAAGCACCAAAAAAGCATTGTTTTGACGTATATGAATCAAGATTTGAAGAGAAAAAAAAAACACATTCATCTATTATGCGACGAATGTTGTCGATTTGATCGCATACAATCACTACGATCTCTCTATCTCTCTTCCAGTCCCACAGCGCGCACGCTACAGTTTCAATGAATTTCTTTCTATTCTTCGTCTTCTTCCGAATAGCGCATACGTCTCGTCTTCGAAGAACTCTCACCAAAAGAAACTCACTCACAGGCAAACGACGCGCACACCGTATGTTTGCCCCGTACACACTGCCGCTCGTTACGACCATATAAGCTTATTGTGTGAGCCGTAGTGAGCGTAAGTGAGCGAGAGTGAGAGCGAGAGAGAGATAGAAAGAGAACCGTTCGTCTCTCGTCTGTGTTTGTGATATCGTTGCGAGAACGATAGTTTTTCAGCCCGATACACAAAGTCTGCGTGTAACTGAACTAGTGCTTATAGTATACGATTAACGAGCAACGGCGAAAGTAGCAAGAGTAGAGCAAAAAGAAAGACAGAAGAGAAAAAAAAAGCAAAACACACCACACACAGCATACAGTACAAACCAAAGCACACAGAATAAGACATCAAGCAAGGAAAAATTCACATCACATATCAGTGTGTCGCCGATCGGTGTACTGAACGAACCGATTCTTTTCTACTCGTCATATTTATTAGAAATCATTTTCGATAAAGTAATTCTTTCTATTGAATACACTTTTTTTTTGCTAAGTTTTCATTTCGTTTGTGTTCCTTGTGTGTACATTTGTTATTTTCGCCACAATTCTAATTAATTTCATTGATGATATTCACTGGATCGAATTTAAATTGGCTGTAAACGGAAGCAACGATTCAGAATTGTTGCAAAAATTTATCAAGGAATTTCTTACAATTTTTGCGCCGATTTCGAATTTGGCCAAAGGACATCATCCACCCGAGTGCAACCAAAACAACCGCAGAACAGAAAAACAAAAAAACCAACGATTTCCGTGCTAGTGAACTGGATAAAAACAATTTAAAAGCGACAAAACAAAAAACTTAATCAGAAAATTACCCGAACAAAAAAAAAATAAATTCTCCGAAGAGAGCGAAAGAGAGTAACACGAACGTAACCGTTTATCGTCGTGCTTTGAATATTCAAGTCAGTCGCATTCTAAATTTATTTGGTTTTCTGAATTGATTGAAATAATAAAAGAAAAAAAGAAGCAACAACTTACTACGAGAAGAGAGACAGTGTGAACTGATTTAGAACAATTTCGGTCGATTGAGAGTGTGCATATGCGTTGTATATATGAGGGAAGAAAAAAAAATGAAGTGAACATCGAGAAATAAATACTGAAGAGCGCAACAATTTATTAGAATTCGTCCGCCGATCTCGTGAATTTAGAGAGCAACAAGAATACATTTCACCTCGAATATAAATTCAAATTTATAGTGTAGATTGGGTGAAGAGAGAACTCATATCAAGGAAATAGCAAGCGAGCGAGAAAGAAAGAAAGAAAGGGAGAAAAAAAAAACAGACAAGGAAAATATCACGAAATATTATCGTATAGACTGGCGAGCATATTGTATATCATTGCACAATATGTATCACGGGATACTGCAAAAGAAATAGAATTAAACGTCACCAAGATATAATTTAGAATTCTAAACAGCAACAACAGCGACGGCAGCGGTAGCAGCAGCAGCAACATAGCATCCGTGTGTCGAGCAACAACAAAAATCGGCTAAATTAAATCTCGGTTATATTTTTTTGTTTCATTCACTTTGCGTCAGTCATCTCTCTCTCCTCTAAATTCGAAAATCGGACGTGCGAACGGACGATGCAAGTCGGCCGCAACAAGAATTTTATTCACACCGAACACATTTCACTGATTCGTTTTATTTCGTGAAGTGGATTTAACGAACGATTAAGAAGATAATATAAAAAAAGAAAGCGAAAAGCAAACACAGACTTTTAATCAGAACATTTGCGATTAAGAATCTTCTTTTTTCTCAAAGTAGAAAAAAAAAACCACGACGGTTCAGTGTTGAAATTGAATTTATTTATTTTTTCGATTCGTGATTTTTTATTTTTGTTGATCAGTGCATCAATTTACATCATTCGGATAACCACGACTCGAGGAGGATTTACAAATGATTAAAAAAATGCCGCAACCGAATTGCCTATACACAACCCGATACTGCTGTAAGTATAACTCTCGCACACAAAATAAATATTCGCAACTATTTTTGGGGAGGGACTCGGGCTAAAATCACATAATTTTTCAATTTCAACAAAGGATTCAAAGTCGAGCGCTTACTTTGTAAAATGTAGAACATTTTTCACTCATTTGAAACGACAATATCTCGATGTCGTTATTTTGAATGAAGAAAAAAATCAATCCCATTAACGTTTTTTTTTGTGTTCGTTGGCAAAATTGAAGAAAACATATGGTTTCTTAGTAGGAAAAAAAGATTCTCAGTATGAAATCCATCAGCTGCAGAACTAAAATCTCCTTTTCCATAGCAAAAAAGCGCTCCACTCTGAATCGTCTCAATAATTTTTCAGCATTTTCTGTTCTAGTAAATTGAAGTTTCTATTTTCCATCATCTCTCGATGGTGTTTCGTGTCTTAGGCTCGTTATTCGAGAATAAGCAAAAGAAAAAAGAAGAAAAAAAACCAACAAACAAACGAGTTGAAATCGCGCAGAAAAACAGCAATCGATACAGATTTTTTTTTTACTTGGGAATTTCCATCGTGCCCATAGCCATATAGTCTTGGAAAAGAATAAAAACAAAACGCAAAGGTGCAATAATTAAGCTTTATAAATATTGAAGCAACTGCTTGCGATAGCACATCGAGTACATTTACCATAACCATCTGTTTGATGGTTGAGCATCGAGATCAGAGTCTGTGAGACTGAAGAAGAAACGATGGATAGAAATGAATTGATTTGCAAATGGCAAGTATAATATTCGGCATCGAGGCTGCAACGGCAGCAGTAGCATCAGGCAAACGACGACGTACATGCGAGACGATGCCACCTCCTCTTGCAATTCAGTGCATTCGTGTTAGATCCAATTATTCCAAGGCAACGAGAAGCCAGTGCAATAAACAGACTAAATGAGTCTGAGAGCTTTGTTTTGATCAGTCTGCGGTGCCAGCCAACCTATAGTGCCATGCCAACAGCTAACAATGCCGAGCGCAGAAATGAAGAGAATCAGAGAAAAATAAATCAAACAAATGAACAAACAAACAAATCCAAGCGCGTTCATAGTCAAAGAGAAATTTTCCACGGTGTTTGTTGTTAATGCGTTTCTGCCGATGGTCGCAGCTTAACTCTTTTCACACCACTTTGCTCTGGCAAGCGATCGTGGCCTCGCTCGGTGTCGTTGCCTGTGTATGCGTTTCCTTTCCTTCTGCACATTTCGTTCCATCAGACAAAATCAATTCCATAAGAAAGTACTCTGCTCTGAAAGAATGCTTTTTCTGTGTTTGCTCGTTTCCATTATTTTTCATCTTCTTCTTCTTCTTTTTTTCGCGAAACACCAACAAACATTATTCATATGCTGCGTTACTTTCTTTTTGCCGCGATGCTATAAATAAGCGCGCAACGGAAAAGAAGTTTTTTTTTCCTTAGCTCGATGTTGTTTTTATTGTTGGAGAAAAGTTCGCAACGCACTTTGAGTGGTACGAGAAGAAGGAGACGTAGCTTGATGTGGCTGATGTGGCTGATGGAACGTACCACCACTCCGGTCGATTCCAATTGCAATTCACTCGATTTGCGTGGTCGCCTGAATTCTATTGTTCGTTTCTATCGCTGTGAAATATATGGAAATTTCTACATTGGAAATTCAGTCATTTGAGCAAAACGAAGAGAGAAGAACAAATTGAAGCTATTTTATTGTGTGACGCCTACTAAGGCGCATTTCAATTCTCTCTGTCTCTCACGAGGCCAATCGATCGACGACGATCTTACTGTAGAAGCATTTGACACAAAGAGACGTGTGAACGGCGACAACAGATAGAATGTCATCGCATTTATGATATGTGTTCTAGTTATTCGAAATCTTTCCAAGTACCCAACTCTCCGATGCGACTTTCAAGAAATGTTCCATCACCTAACGCATTTCTCTTTTCGAGAGAAAAAGAAGCACGCGCGCCTCTCCTTCCGTGGCACTTGAGTGAGTGTGTGTTAAATTTGAAAAAAAAAGTTTAAATCAAAATCGTTTTGTCCATTCGAGTGAAGAAAATTCTTTTCTCACTCAAAAAATGGTCACATCGATGCGCGCGCACACAAAACGCGCCAAGCGTAAGCATTAACGAATCTCGTACAAGAATCAAGCTAGATTTCTGAAGCATAGAAAAGGAATGAAAAGCAAAATGAGTGTGAGCAAAACCGAATTGTGGTATTTTGGATTGTGATCCATCCGCACGCAGAAGAAAATCATGCGCACAACAAAAGAAACTTTATGCCAGAGTCCAATCGAAGACAGGAGAGAGAGAAGAGATATATAGAGATAGAGAGAGAGAGAGAGAGAGAGAGAGAGAGAGAGAGAGAGAGAGAGA